GGAAACTGGACATGGCTGCATCACACAGGCTGGTGATAACGGAGCAGGGGTTCAAATAGTACTTTTAGTTTCTGGTACAAAATGATTTCCCTTAAAAAAGGAGTCATCTGTGGCCAATATATCACATTCCGTAATCAGAGAAGTGCTGTTTAGGTGCAGTTATTTTTCTCTTATTATTATTATTTTTTTATTTTTGGCCGCACTGGGCAGCTTGCGGGATCTTAGTTCCCCGACCAGGGATCGAACGTGGGCCCCCTGTAGTGGAAGCACAGAGTTCTAACCACTGGACCACCGGGAATTCCCACTTTTTTTTTCTCTCTTTTGATTTCGATCTGATTTGGGCAGAAGTTCCCCAGTTTACCACAGACCCCATCACTCCCTATTGCATTATACCTGGTCAAATTCACACAATTCTGCTGCCCACCTGGCTCCTGGCTTTCACTCAGCATTCATTCAACATATATCTATTGAGCATCTAACAGGTGCCAGGTACTGTTCCAGGTACTGGGAAAACCCGGAAGTGACCAAGACGGAAGACAAGCACCCCCCGCCCCCCAATAGCTCTTGGGTTCCAGTGGCATCTGGTTCACAGCCCCTGCCTTCTTCTACATCCGTTAGCATCCCCAGTTTGGTCTGGCTTCACCACCATCGGGGGTATAAGAGGTTAAGGTGGGATAGAATCATGGAAAAACCCTAAACTTGTCTTCCATTCCAGGGTTAATGACTCAGACCATACACTTCTGTAAGGTTCTTACTTTATCCTCAGTTCCCTTCCTTATAACTTGGGACTGTACTCTTCACCTTACTTACCCTCCTAGGGTTGTGTAAAAGTATATGGGTCGTTGTAGACAGCAGTGGGCTCTAAACAGGGCATGATTGTGACCTTGAGGGACGCTGAGCTTCTCACCTATTCAGGAAGTAGTTCTCCTCTGAGGCAGGGCACTGGCCTACTGGCTTCAAGCCTCTCTCCATTCAGGGAATGGTGAGAACTTCTAGGGGAGTCGAGGGCACCCCCTGGCACCCACCGCCCGATTGTGATAAGAACAACCAGGTGCCTCTTTTTCACCTCCATCTGGGGCCACCAGCCTGAGGAAGCGGTGAGAGGAACCAAGGGAGGGTAGAGGGGGAGGGGAGACTCCTCGGTTGGGGAAATCCAGCCACCTGGATTGGGGGCTCAAGCCCAGGCTGTCCTCAGAACCCAGTCCTTGCCCCTCGGTGGGAGCTCCTCGTACCTTCCAAGCTGTCAACAAAGCCAGCATCTTCCTTCTTCTCTCCTTCCTTCCTTCTCTAGAAAGAGTCTGACCTACAGCATGAAGAACCAAGGTTAGCCCCAGGGAGGGACCTCCTGGTACAAGGGGTGTGGCTGAGGCTCAGGATGGAAGCTTATGGAAGCAGGGGGAGCGCTCCAGCATGGCTTTGGTGGAGTCTGTCCTGGAGTTAGGTGGGATGGAGGCACATCTCAAGAAGGTTTGCTATGTGTTGCTTGGAAAGAGTCATCATGATTTCGTGTTTCCAGCTCTTCTCAAGGAAATAGACTTAGAGGTGCAAACTCTCCTGAGTGCAGTTATTTACTACATGGGCTTTCACCAAGATCATTTCAGCTCTGATGCTCACAGGTGTGTGGCAGTACTTAATGGTAATGGAAACATTGGCCGGAACCTCTCCTTCCCCACGTTTCCCCAACCTGGAGGAAAACATGATCAAAATTTTTATTTCATACACCAATGTAAAATCAAGGGAACGGCAACCTTGGATGAATTGAACATTAGAGACTATCAGTGATTGAGAACCTCAAGCACTTTTCAAGGAGTATCTCCTTAATTCTTGCAATAATGGGTAATATGTATCTCTATGTGCCAGCTACCATACAAGTACTATTATCCCCATTTTACAGCTGTAGAAACAGAGACACAGAGAAGTTAAGTAAGTTGCCCAGGATTGCACAGCATACGGGGCAGAGCCAGGACTCAAATCCAGGCAGCCTGGGCCCAGAGTCCAAATTCAGAACCACCATGCTCTAAGCTCCTGGCCTACCCTGAGAGGTGGGGATTATGATTATCCCCAACACAGAGAAGGGGAAACCAACCAAATTGCTCCAGCACTCACGAGCATCAGCAAGAATGTCTTTTATAGGGCTTCCCTGGTGGCGCAGTGGTTGAGAGTCCGCCTGCCGATGCAGGGGACGCGGGTTCGTGCCCCGGTCCGGGAAGATCCCATATGCCGCGGAGCGGCTGGGCCCGTGAGCCATGGCCGCCGAGCCTGCGCGTCCGGAGCCTGTGCTCCGCAACGGGAGAGGCCACGACAGTGAGAGGCCCGCGTACCGCACACACACACACACACACACACACACACACACACACACACACACACAAAAGAATATCTTTTATAACTGCCCTGAACACATTCAGGATTCAACAAACAGTGACAGCCTGAAGCTTCTGTGTCTGTAGCATTCTTTGCCGAGAACACTTAATCCTCACACTTGCACAGAGGTAAGCAGGGTGGGGGTCTGATCCTTCGTGATTCCCAGCCGGAAGGGGTCTGGGATGTGAAGCCAGGGCATCTCCACACCTGGGCTGTAGCTCCCTTGGCTGCAGCTCTGAGGCTGTGTGATCCTCTAAGCCGGCGTGTGGCAGACAGACAGGCCCGTGGACTGTTGGGGCTGGAAGGGACCTTGGTGACCTTTCAGTGATGAGATTAGTCAGCCTGGCCGGGATGCCAGGCTCTTAACCTGGACAGCCTCTGGCCTCCTTTGATCAGCAGAGCAACATGGCCTGAGGCTCCCTTGCTCCAGTTCCCGCCTCTCAATTAAAAACCGACCACAAATATGTGCTCCCTTGTTTTGAGAGTCTGCTTCAGGGAAGGAGGAATTTCATGTTGGATCCTCTGGAAGTTGAATTTTCTGCCTTCCGGGTTTGCATGCTCTGTCGAGCTGTGGTTAACCAACCCGGAGCTTCTGATTCCACTGACCTGTAGAGTGTCCCCCGGGGGCAGCTCAGGAGGAAGGGCGGCATGAGACCCACCAGCTGGCGACCTCGAGCAAGTCGCAGAGGCTCTCAGAGCCTCCCTCCCTTCCCTGACCCCTGGGTGGGTGAGCCTGAGGACTCACTGAGATAAAGGCGAGAGGCTGCTTTGTAAACTATAAAACGGAAGACCCCTGTGATCACTGCTTGCTTGTAGAAAGGACCAGTTTATCTTAGCGCAGCTCCTTAGCCTCCAAATGCTGTCATCTTTCCCTTCCCTGTTGACCACAGTACAGATGCCTGGATCATTTAATGCAACAGATCTTCCCTGAGCCCGTAGTGAGGTGCTCCATGGTGCTCGGTATTGGGAGGTCCACCCCAAGAGAAGGAAAAAAGCAAGGTCTATCCGTGACCCTGTGTCCTGAGAACCAGAGTCAGGGAAAGACAGAATGCCCCAGAGAATGCAGTTTCCAGCAGGAGGGTTTCTGTTCACTTTTGCTCTTAACATACACACAGAGAAGGGACATTTGTGATGAATTTTCACAAAGTAGACACACCTGTGTAACCACTACCTGGCTCAAGAAACAACATGGAACTCCCCGGGGCCCCTTCCCAGTCTCTACCACCCCCCTCTCTGACTTCTAGCACCACAGGTTGGTTTTGCCTATTTCTGAACGCTCAATGAATGGAGTCACCCAGGCCTTCTTTCGCTCAGTGAGAAAGAAGTGTGTGTGAGATGCATCCTGCTGATGTCAGTGGCTGTAGCTGGTTACTTCTCGCTGATGTACGTGGACTCCCACGCTCGATCACACCCGATCTGTCTGACGGTGCGCCTTGGGGTCGTTGCCAGTTTTTGGTGCACTGTGAATGTTCCAGTCCGTGTCTCTGGGTGAGCTTATGTGTACTTTCTTTGAGGTATAGACCTGGGTGGAATAACTGGGTTGTAAGGTGTGGCTGGGTTAGCTGTAGTAGATGCCGGCAGGAAGGATTTAAGTCAGTAGTTAAGCAGTACTTCCAGACCCTGAAGACTGTGGTCGACGAGCTCATGCCCCCAGAGGAGGGGGCCGTGAAAGCTCTGGAGACCAAGAGGAAGAGGCTGGATTAGGCATCCCTTGGAGGCTGGGGGGCAGTCCTTGGCCCCTTTCCATCTGGTTTTGGTCCCGTCTCCTTGGTCTGTCTGGGGTTTCCAGTCTGTACTCCCAAGGAGGTGTCCAGGGCCACTTGGGAGAGATGGGTAGGGGGGCTTTAAGCTTCATTTCCCTGCATCAACCACAGCTCCCTGTGTCCTCTGTTTCACATAGGGGTTCTGAGGATGACTTCATGTGCTTTTTTTTTTTTAAAGCTTTCGCTGTTTCAACATTTGAAAATCCACCGCTGTGAGGTCCCTTCCAGCTGGGAAGTTCTATTTTGGGAGCTGGAGGTGGGTGTGGGAAGGGTTAAGCATTATTCAGCCAAAGAGCAGGATTGGGCCTCAGTGACCTTTTAAAGTTCTTATAGCTCGGCTTGCAATGCGGGCGATCTCAGAACATTCTATAAAAATAGCGCTCAAACAAAACAACTTCTGAAGCCTAAAGGATGTGGAAGAGAGGCTCGATGTGGAGGAACGTTTAGGTGGCAGTTCAACAGGAGTCTTGAGGACTCTCTCCTTCAAGCACCCCTCTCCATTTTTTTTCCCTTCCTTTTTAACTCTCTGTCAGCTGTTCCTGGTAGCTGTCACTTGGGGTTGTTTGGGTTCAGAACGGTTCTCATTTTCGCCCAGGAGCGGGTGACGCAGGTGGCCTGTACGTCTCTCCCAAGGGTGGTGGCCTTCCCTCCTCCAACACCAGCCCTAGTTTGGACCTGTAGTTTTGCTTGGTGAGGGAGGCCGGGCCGTTCCCGGGCCCAGAGAGGAACATCTCTGCCTTGGCATGCAGCTCTGAGTCAACAGGCCTGATAAACGGCCCACTTCCCAGGGCCAGCAAGGAACAAAGCCCTGACTGCTGCTGCGGGATCCGTCTGCCCCCCTCTTCCTGAAACAGCTGTTTATTCTTTTGACAGGAGTTGGAACGGAGCACCTTCCTTTCCTCCCAGCCCGACCTCCTTCTGCAGAACGGAGCTCAATAGAACTTTGTTGTTTTGCCTTTTACTCTGGGGGGAGAGAAGCAGACGATGAGGTACGTGACATGTTGAAGTGATTTACCTCTGCCTTGTCGGGGTCACTGGGGGTTTTGTGAGCCGGCTGCGGCGTGCATGCCCCTGGGGGAGGAACCCCGCTCTCCCCCTAACTGCTTGCTGGTCCCCTCGGTAGTTCTAGAAGAAGACAGAGTCCTCCTCTCCCTGGCGTCGGATCAAGAAGTGGGTGCTGGTGGGATGCTGGTCCAGTCCCTGTTAGTTTGCTGCCCCTGGCAGGACCTCACAGGGCGTGGCTGCAGCCTGGGGTTTTCTGTGCAGGACTCAAAAGTGCCATTGCAGGGGCAGGAGGGCGAGTCTTGGGGCCCAGGACCTGCGTTGCGGGTGGATGCAGAGCCCTCTCAGGGCAGTGCCGACCCTTCATTTACCTCCCCTTCTTTCTCTTGGAAGAACTCTTGCACACTGATTTCTGGGCCAGGCAGCAAGGAAAAGCTGGCTGGATCCAGGCTTCAGATTTCCTGAAGGGGATTCAAGAAAGGGCACAACAAGACGTCCCTCCGAGAACAGGTTGTTCCATCTGTGATGGCTGGAGCGACAGCCAGTTGTATATTTAGTCTGAAGCTTGTCTCTTGTTTTCCTCCGTCTGTGTTTACTTTGACCCTTGTAATGAAAAACATAACTGGAAACAGCCCTCCATGCACTTTTTTTCCCCACGAATTATAACATGTTTCTCCCAACAGGGAGCATTTCCCCGTAATGCCCACCAATTTAGAGAGGTTTTAGGATAAAGCAGCATTCTCCCTCCTCACCCTCAGCACCAACCCCCTGCCAAGAGCTGGGCCTGGGAGGCAGAGGGTCTGCTTTTCAAACACACCACCCACCTTGTGGGTGAGCCCAGTGATGTCAGCCTTTGCTAAAGCTCAGTTTCCTCAGCTAAAAGCCGCTGCGCTGACCAGGATGAGGGATGAACAGGATGGAGTGAGTGCGGAAGGCTCCCACACCAGGCACACAAGAGGCACCTGGAAATGGCAGAGGAGTTGAGCCAATGCTCACCAGCTGGTCCAAGGAGAAGCTAGCCCCTCAGTGAGTCTAGCCTGTGATTAGCTGGCTTTGGGTCAATTGCTAAGTGGTAATCATGAAAGGCAAAATGAGAGGATGTTGCAAAGACACATGGGTGGTTAGTCCATGGATAAGCCTGCATGTTTACTGAGAACAAAAGAGTTAAAAGGGTGGGCACTAGAGGCCAACTCTCTGGACCTGAATCCTGGCTCCACCACTTTATGCTGTGTGGCATTGGGCAAGTCACTTAACCTTTCCGAGCCTCCATTTTCATATCTGTAAAATGAGCATGATACTAGAATGCTTTCACACGGTCGTTGTGAGGCTTACCTGAGAGATTACTGGTAAAGCATTTAGCCTGGGGCCTGGCCTGGTTCAGTTGGGGGGCATCCAAGTGTTGCAGGGCCAGAAGCTTATTCAATTTTCAGGGTCCGCTTTAAGAAAAAGAATGCAGAGTTGCAAGTATAATATTAGTGTGGAAGTGAATGCAGTCGTCCCTCGGTATCCACAGGGGATTGGTTCCAGGATCTCACAGATACCAAAATCTGAAGATGCTCAAGTCCCTTACATAAATGGCATAGTATTTGCATATAACCTACACACATCCTCCTGTTCACTTTAAGTCACCTGGAGATCACTTACAATACCGAGTATGATGTAAATGCTATGTAAATTGTTGCATGTACGCAGCAAATTCAAGTTTTGCTTTTTGGAACTTTCTGGAATTTTTTTTTTTTTAACATTTTTGATCCGTGGTTAGTTGAATCCGTGGATGTGAAACCCATGGTTATGGAAAACTATTTAGAATGTGAGGAGACATCCCAACAAATAACAAAAATTGACAAATACTCTACATAGGACAAAATCCAGAAAACATCCTAATAAAATGTGAAAGTAATATAAAAATGATCAGTATTACTCAGCTGTCTGATGCACCTGTCATATTTTGGCTGCATACTCCTGGATTGCCTCTTTGCTGATTTTGTAGTATCATTTTTAATAGAGACAAAGACAAATCAGTTTTGCCTCTAGCATGGTCAGTCAGTGGTTGCTTTTTATAACTGCGAGTTTAGAAGTTTCTTTCAGCTTTACAACTTGTTATCGGTGATGCCACGGCTGTGAATCTTTCGGCACTTCCCTGCTCAGGTGGCTCCAGCCAGATCTCTGAAGAACTCAGCTCTTCGATCCTGGATGGCGGGAGGGGGGTGTGGGTACCAGGTGGCTGTGAGGTCTGGATCACTGGGACCCCTGAGCAGGGAGCAGAGTAGCAGCTAGTTCAGCTCCTTCTCTTGTGGATCAAAGTGGGGGGCTCCTGGGAGCTCAGCAAGGCCTAGCTGGGGCAGGTTGTTACTGGGACCCAGGTAGGTCTGCAGGGAGTGGGGTCAGTATTCAGGCCTCACCTGCAGCCCTGGGACAGGCACCCAGGCTGGAGTGATTCCCCCAGGCAGGAGCAGTGCCTCGCCTCGGGCCAGCGTTTGGGCTTTTCCCACTCTCCACCCCAGTGGGAGAGCAGGCCCAGTCTTGCCGGGGGTCCTGACTCAGAGGTTTCATAAGCTTCTGGATCAGTTGGCCTGTGGGCTCAACATGAGTTGGTTGGCCGTCCTCTCTCTTGATCATCACTTCCAGGAATCTGTGGGCCATTGCAGCAAGACGAGCTCCATGTGGCTGAGTGAACTTGTCCTCATAAAATGAGACTTCCAGCCCTGTGGCTGATTTCTCATCCAGGTCCTAGGTCAATCAGGAAAGCCTGTCATGGAAAGTTAAGTCCACAGGACTTGTTTCAAGGCTGGGGAGACTGAGGCCAGAGGAACCCGTGACCCTGGTTCCCAAAGCCGCTCTGTGTGGGAGCTGGCGTGACGTTTGAGCCGCCGCTTCCTTCCCTGCCCATGGTGAGCCACGGGGGCAAAGGCCATGCGCAGCGGGACCCCGAGCTGGGGGCGGTGGGGAGCCGAGCTGACTGTCACAGCAGTCACAGCGTGGCGTGGAGGGCTCTCCCTTGACTCTTCTGTGTGGTGCTGCCCTGGAGGGCCAAGTCTCCGCTCAGAGGGAACCACAGCTCTGCCCTCAGAGCCACGCATTTCTGAATCTCTCCCCTGAGAAAGCATCATCCTTGTTTCCACTGCCATCGGTGGAGCATTTACTGACCACCGGTCACAATGTGCTGTGCAAACATGTCTCCTTTTGTCCCTTCAAGAACCCTAGAGGAGGATGTTTGAAGCTCCATTTTGTCTATGTAAATAGAGGCTCAGAGCCAGAGAACTTGCCCCGGGTTGTGCATACAGGGCTGCACGTGCTTAGCGGGGTTTTGTGCAGGGTGACTCATACCCAGTCAGCTCCTGAGCCCTCTCCCCACCCCCTCAGCTGCTTTGTTTCGTTTGCAGCACTTGTGGGTTCCAGGGGCAGGGGGAAGAATCCCGGGGAGAGAGGAAGATTCTTCAGCCTGCAGGAAGGTTTGGTTTCCTCTGCCGCTGCTGTTCCCATTCTCTCCCAAGATAATGGCTTTTCCAGGGCTTCTGAGTGCTGTGATTCAGCTGAGATGCTCACCTTTTCCCGACATGGGATGGAGAAAACAAGGGCCACGAGAATTCCTTTCAGAGAGGAATTCTATCTGGAAGGAATACCTTGACTTAGATCAGTTGGGGTGAAACTAGGAGATTCTCTGAAGTCGTGGGTGTGTGTATCATTCTGTGTGGAAGAATTAATTTATGGGCCACATGGAAACGTCTGACACTCCAGGCAAACAGGAGTGGGAGAGGAGGCGGGGGGAGGGGGCGAGGACGGCGGAGGAACGACGGGCTTACAGTGTGGCCCTGCCTTGCGAAATGCACCCAGGCTTTTAGCACAGTGTGCACCTGTTCCAGGAGTGGGGACGGTTTCCTGTGGAAACCGTTGCAGGGACTGAGTTCTGGGAGTGGCCCAGGAGCAGCCCGTGCCGGTGGTGGGATGGATTCAGAGGGAAATCGCAAGCACCATGACAAGAGGGCCTGGGAGATGCTGGGAGGGCTCAGGTGGAACTGCGCCTGGCTGGGCTCACATGATCCTCTGAGGGGTGGGGTCCAGGTGACTCAGCTAGTTATACTCTCCCATATAAGGCAGGGTGCTAGTACTCTGTAGGTCCTAATTCTGTGCTCAACCCCTTAAATGGGACATTTGGAAGCAACCCCAACTTTCCTACTTGGTGGGTAAGAGAGTCAACCACGAATCTTCAGAATGACACAGTTTTGAAAATTCTGAGAGACAAACACATCAGCGAAGGGCTTTTAGGCCGCATTGGCTGCCAAATGCCTCATTTTATCCAGAGAGAAAAATTAAAATGTTTTAAAAGACCCGCTGGCCACCCTGCCAACCCTTCTGTCCCCAGACACTGGGGTTCCAGATTCCAGTAAGCGTGTATACACCCATTTCCAGTGCTTTGCTAAAGGATGTGAGATCGGCTCATTTGCACAGCTTTCAACTGTAAGTTTCCAACAAGAGTGATGCCTGGCCACAGCAAAAAGTAAGCAGATTCAAGTCATTTATAGAGTCCGGAAAGAAATGGGCTTCAAGAGTTGCCTCTGAGGCTAATTTCTGAAATTAAAAAATCAAACAGCTGCATTTGGAGAGGGGATTAGAGGGTGTGTCTGATTTTATATCAGGCTCTCCCTGATGTAAGCGTCAGTGTTCTCTACCATGAGAGCTTGTGCGTTTCTCTATTTAATGTTTCTTACACGGGGAGAAAATTTGCGTTTGATCCTCAGCAGGTGGGGTTGATAAAGCTTCGGATGGCCTGGGCTTGATCAAAGAAAATCAGAGTTGCCTGGCATCGCCAAGGGGCTCTTAATCAGGCTGCAGTACAGAGCAGCTGGATAAACCTTTAGAGTCCCGAATTTGCATCAGTTTGCACTTTATTGTTTAACATGTTCTTATTCCAAAACCCTTATTCTTTTCTCTCAAATATGCTTTGAGCTCTTGCTAACTACCGGGCACTGTGCTGTCTTCATTGGATCCTCCCAACAGCCTGTTTTATGGATACCACTAGAAGAACTAGCTTTTTTTTTTTTTTGTGGTACGCGGGCCTCTCACTGTTGTGGCCTCTTCCGTTGCGGAGAACAGGCTCCGGACACGCAGGCTCAGCGGCCATGGCTCACGGGCCCAGCCGCTCCACGGCATGTGGGATCCTCCCGGACCGGGGCACGAACCCGTGTCCCCTGCATCGGGAGGCGGACTCTCAACCACTGCGCCACCAGGGAAGCCGGAACTAGCATTTTTTGAGCATTTATGTGGTGCCAGGCACAATGCTAAATATTTTATGGATGCCAACTCTTACAGTCATCACCATTTTTAACCCCATTTTAGAGACGAGGAAACCCACCTAAACGTGATCCATTACAGGTCCACCATCCCTTTTCTGAATCCCTAGGGCCAGATATGTCGGAACTCAGAATTTTTTAGATGCCGAGTGTTTATCATATTATGTAACGCACCCAGTGCAGCAGCAGCAAGCACGTAACAAAATACATCAATATTTATGCAAAGAAACATTTAAACAGTCTCACTAAGTGGGATAAAGTTTATAAATAGCCTCATGTCAGTTGGGGCCTGGATGCCAATTGAATTATAAACAGGCTTTTGGTTTTCAGAGCTTGGAGTTGGGTGAGGGTCTGAAAAGATGCTTACATGTTCGGAGTTACCCATTTTCATGTGTCTCAAATCCCCGCCTCATTCCCAAGCTCCTGTGTTCTATCACCATCCACACTTCTCTGGGGGTGAAGACAGTGGCAGAGAGAGATGGCCACAGTCTCAATCCAGATCTGTTTGCTTCCACACCAGGCCTTTCCTTGCACTCAGTGCTAATGCTGTTGACATAGAAATCAAGTGGCTTCTTCCAGCAGCGGGGCCGAGTTGCATGCAGCCCTCTGCATTTTGTAACTTTGCTGTGGGCCCCGGGCTGTCTGTGCCAGCTCACGAGGTATTCACAGGGAAGAAGCTTGAGACCGAGGTTTCCCTGTGGCCCAGAAGGCTCATCTTCTCACGGTCTCTGGAACACCACCGATCACAGTTGTATCTGAAAGCTGGAGGTTGAGTTATGACCTTGAGTTCAGCCCTGGCTTTTCCATTTCCAAACAGAACGCACCTTCTAAGCAAGAAGGAATAGAGGGCTTCCCTGGTGGCACAGTGGTTGAGAGTCCGCCTGCCGATGCAGGGGACGTGGGTTCGTGCCCCGGTCCTGGAAGATCCCACATGCCGCAGAGCGGCTGGGCCTGTGAGCCATGGCCACTGAGCTTGTGCGTCTGGAGCCTGTGCTCCGCAGTGGGAGGGGCCATGGTGAGAGGCCCGCGTACCGCCAAAAAAAAAAAAGGAATAGAGTGTCATGGCTGATCCCATACCTTTTCTTCTTTAACTGGATTTAATAATAAAGGTGATGGAGCATGTGAGATCCAAGCCGGGAATCATCTCAGAACGCTCTTTGAAAAGAATTGGAGAATAACCTGTCCCCTGAAAGGACACATCTCAGTGCCATTCTCATTTTATCTCATGCGCTCACCAGACATTTATTGACAGCCCCGTCTGCTGTCTGTGGGGCACTGGGGATTCAGGGTTGAATAAGAAGACATCCTCCCTGGGACTTGCCTGGTAGTCCAGTGTTTAAGATTCCATGCTTCCAGTGCAGGGGACATGGGTTCCATCCCTGGTCAGGGAACTAAGATCCCACATGCCACGTGGTGTGGCCAAAAAAAAAAGAAGAAGAAGAAGAAGACATCCTTTCTTTCGGCCCTCAGGAAGCTCAAACGAATGATTAGGAGAGACAGAGCCAAAATGTGGACGTTACCACATGAGCCGCCTCCCAAGGTGATGTGCACAGCAACGTAAATAAAGTGATGAGGGAGCTGGAGGAGAGAAAGGGGGCTTCGCTGGTGGTCAGGGGTGGAGGTGGGAAGTGGCTTCACCAAGGCGATGACATTGGCTCCCACTCTTGTGTTTTCTCCACCTCTGGTCCTCTCCTTCTCGCCCCCTCCTCTATCCTACCTCTAAGTGTCGGCATCTTCAAGCTTCAGCCCAGGGCCCTCCTTCCTTTTTTTCTCTCTACATTCTCTCCTTGGTAATCGAATTCATTCCCTTCACGTTAAATACTGTCCTGGGTCCGTGGACAGCTCCTCCAACTGCACAGCCCGCCCACATCTCTCCCATGAACTTCAGGCTCGGAAGTCCACTTGCCTACTCGTCTCCATTCAGGTGTTCACACACTCCTTGAAATATACACATCCAAAAGGCAATTCATGGTCATTATCCTTCAAGCCTGCTCCTCCTCCAACCCATTTGAGGAATGGGTTGTAGGAATGCTACAGCCCACCTGCTTAAGCAGAAACCTTGTTTCTTCCCTCATCCCTGATGACTAAATTACCAGCCAAATCCTATCAGTTCTGTCTCCAAAGTATATTTTGAATGAAGCCACCCTTTGAGGCAGGCCGCCTCCTCTTTGTGACCATTAAAATAGTCTGCCCTTGTCCTTTTATCCGTTCTGCATACCCAGCGCCCAGATGGGTCTCTCTGAACGAAGTTGGATGAAGTGATTCTTCAGCTTCAGATGTTTTGGTGGGTCCCCACCCACTTTCCATGCCTTTCCAGGCTCTGACTGCCCCTGCCCACCCTCTGACTGCTTCCTACCACCACCCCGCCCTCGTTCCAGCCGCTCAGGTGGGACAACTTCGCTATTTTCTTCTTGTCCAGGTTTTTTGCTTTTGTTTTATTCCAAACACAAGAAGCTTTTTCTCGGTCAGCCTGGTATAGATGCTGTTGCCGAAATATTCTCACCCTTTCTCATGGCACTTTTCATCCTTTTCCATCCTATCTTCATCCCGTGGGAAGCTTTAAAATCACCTCCCCAGTGAGGGCTTCCCCGACTACCCAAATTGAGGTACTTCCCAAACCATTATTCCATACCCATCACCCCTTCCCCCTTCAATCACAATTTCATGCGGCAATCAAGAAATAGTTATATACCTACTGTGTGTCGATTGTGTGAGTGTGGAGAAGAAAAGCTGGCTGGGAAGTAGTTGAGTCTAGATTGTAAAGGACCAGGGAGTTTTCCCCTCTGAGGACGGGCATATAGGCAGTATATCAAGGGCAGCAGAGCTCAGGAATGGATGGTTCCCCAAAATCACATGCCAAGAGGTGGGGCGATCTGAGTCAGAGGCAGCTGGTGTCCATGGGAAACATTAGCTAGACCCTCACTCTAGAAAAATGGTACAGATGAACTTATTTGCAAAGCAGAAATAGAGTCACAGATGTAGGGAATAAATTTATGGTTACCAAGGGGGGAAGGGGGGATGGGATGAAGTGGGAGATTGGGATTGACATATATACACTACTATGTATAAAATAGATAACTAATGAGAACCTACTATATAGCACAGGGAACTCTACTCAATGCTCTGTGGTGACCTAAATGGGAAGGAAATCCAAAAAAGAGAGGATATATGTACACATATAACTGATTCCCTTTGCTGTACAGCAGAAACTAACACATCATTGTAAAGCAACTATACTCCAATAAAAATAAGTAAGTAAATAAATAAACAAACAACCCCCCACTCTCCCATGTCCATGGTGAACCTTGTGATCAATCAGGGTACTTTCCCTCTGAGCCTCAAAGTGGCCTTAGCGTCCTTCCCAACCCAAGCAGCCCCGTCAATTCATTGAACTGGCTAATTTGCCATCACTGGCCTATGCAGTTTAAGGCAGAACATGCTCCTTAGCTCTCGTTAAATATTCATCAACTTTTCCTTTTAGAAAGGATATGGGTAGAAGCATTTCTTAAAAACCATATCCCATTCTCAACATTTAATCTATTTTTCCCCCTCTTCTTTTCTTTTCCCAGGAGAAAATAATGAATGTCAAAGGAAAAGTGATTCTGTCAATGCTGGTTGTCTCAACTGTAATTGTTGTGTTTTGGGAATATATCAACAGGTAATTATGAAACATGATAAAGCGATGTTAATGAAAGTCTCCTCTAATCTCCAGGTATCAGCCAAGTCAGCAGGTTGAATTAAAATTAGGATTAACTGACACCATAAAGAAGGGATTTCATCCTTCCTGTATCCCTGAGCCCTAGACTGTCTTTAAAATCATTAGATCTTTTTTTTTCTTTTTTAAAAGATTTATTTATTTTATTTTTGGCTGCGTTGGGTCTTCGTTGCTGTGCACAGGCTTTCTCTAGTTGCGGCCAGCAGGGGCTACTCTTCGTTGTGGTGCGTGGGCTTCTCATTGCGGTGGCTTCCCTTGTTGAGGAGCATGGGCTCTAGGCGCGCGGGCTTCAGCAGTTGTGGCACGTGAGCTTAGTTGCTATGCAGTATGTGGGATCTTCCCCGACCAGGGCTTGAACCCATGTCCCCTGCATTGGCAGGCGGATTCCTAACCACTGCGCCACCAGGGAAGCCCAAAATCATTAGATCTTCATGCACCTTCTAAGTAATTAATTATCTTCCTTCTGCCATGTTCCTAATGTCTTGATTTTTATACCTTTGCGGTTCTGGGTAGGCTAGAGCCAGAAACAGTAAGGTCATATTAAGACCAAAATGTCATATTAAATTATTTATATGACCAGATATGGAAATTACCTTAAGAAATTTCAGACAGGAATTCCATGAGAAATCCACCCTGATTTTTGCAGTCCTAAAATACTTGCAAAGTTTAAAGGAACAATTCAAGGTTGTTGACTTTGGTGCAAAAATACACTCTGAATTGCTGGTGATTCATTTGTGCCTGGCAAAACTTTGGGGTATTTTGTCTTTCTTTTAACCCTGGAAAGCAAGATGAATTAAATATTTCTGAGTTTTCAAGTTCATCAGTGGATTCACCCCAAATATTTGAGCTGCTTCTGTGTTTTTGGAAACTACCAATGCCTCGGAGATTCCAGCTGCAGAGCCTCTGACAGAAAGGAGTCTCCGCAAGTGGCTACAAAAATGCATGATGATTTTGACTTAAGAGGCATTGGTACAGCTCAGCCTTTCTTTCAAAAAGGCCACCTTAGGGCTTCCCTGGTGGCACAGTGGTTGAGAATCTGCCTGCCAGTGCAGGGACACGGGTTCGGGCCCTGGTCTAGGAATATCCCACATGCCGCGGAACAACTAAGCGCGTGAGCCACAACTCCTGAGCCTGTGCGTCTGGAGCTTGTGCTCTGAGACAAGAGAGGCCGTGACAGTGAGAGGCCCATGCACCGCGATGAAGAGTGGCCCTCGCTCGCCACAACTAGAGAAAGCCCTCGCACAGAAACGAAGACCCAACACAGCCAAAAATAAAATAAATTAAAAAAAAAAAAAAAAAAGGCCACCTTCCAATTCTGGGCCAGGAGAGCTGTCTCGGCACCATTGTTTTTTTTTGTTTTTTTGTTTTTTTGCGGTACGCAGGCCTCTCACTGTTGTGGCCTCTCCCGTTGCGGAGCACAGGCTCCGGACGCGCAGGCTCAGCGGCCATGGCCCAGGGGCCCAGCCGCTCCGCAGCATGTGGGATCTTCCCAGACCGGGGCATGAACCCGTGTTCCCTGCATCGGCAGGCGGACTCTCAACCACTGCGCCACCAGGGAAGCACCACTGATATTTTCATGGTGAAGTGTCTTAGAAGCCTCCCAAGTTCAAGATGATGGCCTGGATGAACATTAGAATGTCTCTTTCAATTATTAAATTCTAAGATTTGATGAGCCAGCAGGACAATCTTGGCCACTTATAAAGGAACTGCACTTTCAGGTACGTCAGTAGAAGGAGGATTCTCTAGACTCCAGAGCTGTTATTCCCTGGGGTGCTGCATAGATCTCACCGCTTCTGGAGTGTTATCCTGTTTCATTCTGAACAACTCATTTTAAGAAAAACAAGACAAGCTAGAGAGTGACCCTGTTGAAGTGGTCTATAAACCAGGTCTTTTGAATTGAAACTGTGGGTACTTAGTCCAAAGAAAAGATGACACTCAGTGTTGGATGCAGGGAGTTCCTGGGGCTTCCTTAGATACTTGAGGGCTGAGGAATTATCCTCGCTGAAGTCTGGAGCTAGGCTGCCTGGGGCTGGTCCTGTGCTACCACTTACCTCCTCTGTGACTTTGGGCAAGTTATTCAGCCACACTGTTCCTCAGTTTCCCTATCTTTAAAAATGGGAGAACAAACTTATGGTTACCGGCGCGGGGGGGGAAGCGGGGGGAGGGATAGTTAGGGAGTTTGGGATTGACGTGTACACACTGCTGTATTTAAAATGGATAACCAGGGCTTCCCTGGTGGCGCGGTGGTTGAGAGTCCGCCTGCCGATGCAGGGGAAACGGGTTCGTGCCCCGGTCTGGGAAGATCCCACATGCCGCGGAGCGGCTGGGCCCGTGAGCCATGGCCGCTGAGCCTGCGCGTCCAGAGCCTGTGCTCCGCAGCGGGAGGGGCCACAGCGGTGAGAGGCCCGCGTACCGCAAAAAAAAAAAAAAAAAAAAAAAAAAAAAGGATAACCAACAAGGACCTACTGTATAGCACAGGGAACTCTGCTCAATATTATGTAACAACCTAAATGGAAAACGAATTTGTAAAAGAATAGATACACGTATATGTATAACTGAATCACTGTGCTGTACACCTGAAACTAACACAACATTGTAAATCATCTCTACCCCAATATAAAATAGTAGGTTAAAAAAATAAAGAAATGACTGATGAATGGGGGCTGTTCTCCCTGTCTTAGTGAGTGTATTTGTGGAACAGACCAGTTTGTATACCTGTAAAAGCTTTAGTAAACCTGGATTATTTTTTCTTTTAAATGGGCATAACAGTAGTACCTGCCTCATAGGGTTGGTGGATTCAATAAGTTACTGTGTATAAAGCACTTAGGGCAACACACTCAGTAAATGCTAGCTGCTCTCACCGTTATCCTCACCATCATTACCGCCACCCTCATCACCTGCTCAGAGGGCAGAATAGGACAGGGGACTTTAGCCAATAATAGAAGGAAGAGCTCTAGCAGTTGGAAGGTTCCAACAGAAGAGCAAGCGCCCTTCGGGTTCCTCCCCTGAATTGAGTTGCTTGTGTAGGTAACCTTCAAGCTCTGAACGCTTGCTTGGATAACCTTGGTGTTTTGAATTGCAGCCAGAGTCATACTTCCATATTTGGGGTACTTCACAAAATTAAATTATGGGAGCCAAAGGCCCAAATGTGCATCTTGGCACTAGCCTCCCATAAAGAGGGTTATTTCTCAGTGCTGGGCACACTCTTCTCTGCACAGTAACTGGAGCAGGCTCTGGCCGCTCTTCAGGGCCATAGTCTGGCACCCAGACTGCTGCCACAGAATTCTTCAATGTGAGGAATCTATTTGAATGTCTGCAAGAGGTTTAAAAGGCAGCAGATTCTTTGCCACCCTGTGAATTGACCATGTGATGATCTGAGGTGAGCTGAGGGCACTAACCTTAGACAGGTGGGCAGCACTGTAGCTAAAAAGGGTTGTAAAATAACTCAGTCGAACACATCAACTGATTCGGAAAGAGAACTGTTGTCAGTAGAGCATCCTGAAAGAATGTTTGATTTGAGGCTGGATAAGAAAAAATTCGTAGAATCTTAGAGGTGGAGGAAACCTTAAAGGTTATAATAAAGTAGTGACAGTGAGGGTGATTTTGATGATGGCAGCTACTAGTTATTGAGCATTTGCCAGGAGCTGCAACATGCATTCCCTCCCGTTCTTAACATAGGCCTGCGAGTAAGTATTAGTCAGCATTTCCAGATGAGGAACACTGAGTCTCCACAATGTTAAAGGTGAATTTTCAAAGTCACATTTTCAGGAAGATTTAGGTCCGGGGCTGTCTGATTGCAGCCCATTCTCGACCCACGATTACAACCCTTCCTTTAGCTGAGAGTTCCCATTTTTCAAGTGACAAAATGGAGACCAAATAGGTGAAATGACTTAACAGTGAATTTATGTCCAAGTTCTAACTAGAACTCAGATCTGATTCATCGTCTGGGGCTCCTTCTTGAGCTGGTTGTTCATGCCGAGTGCTGTGAGGGATACAGTGTGAGCCAAGGAGAATTCCTATCCTCAAGGGGTTATGCTTTGGATGGAGCAAGCAGACGTACACACCAATAAACCAAAAATGCAGGACTTCCCTGGTGGTACAGTGGTTAAGAATCCACCTGCAAATGCAGGGGACATGGGTTCGATCCCTCGTCCGGGAAGATCCCACATGCCATGGAGCAACTAAGCCTGCGCACCACAACTACTGAGCCTGTGCTCCAGAGCCCGTGAGCCACAACTACTGAGCCCGCGTGCAACAACTACTGAAGCCCATGCGCCGAGAGCCCGTGCTCCACAGCAAGAGAAGCCACCGCGATGAGAAGCCCATGCAATGCGACGAAGAGTAGCCCCTTCTCGATGCAACTAGAGAAAGCCCGTGCGCAGCAACAAAGACCCAACACAACGATAAATAAATAAATAAATAAATTTTTAAAGTTAAATTTAGAAAATCAAACCAAAAACCTAGATAAAGTTAAATTAAAAAAAAAAAACCAACAATGCGAGTGGAGGAAGGACATCAGAGGGAGAGAAAAGGGGCCATGAGAGTTCAAGAAGGCAAAGATTATGTTTGGCTTAGAGAGGGATCTATTTTTTTTGCCTTCATTTACAAATATTTATTGAGCACTTACTGTGTGCCAGGCACTGTGCTAGGATCGTCCAAGGAAGGCACAGAAGAGGTGGCATTTGAGCTGTGCCTTGAAGGATGAATATGTGTCAAATGCCATACACTGCAGCGTGGGTGTTGCTGTGACCTGAGATGTCGAAGGCTTCTGGGAGAGGAGGGTGCAAAGGGCAAGATGGCAGATTAAAAAGTTGGGACAAGGTGGCGAATCTGAATCTGCAGATGGACGCCCTGAGTGCCTGGTGGGGGTCTGAGTGCTGAGTTGCAGCGGGCCCGCCCCCTCCTCTCCCCTCTCCCTTCCTCCTCTTGTAGGCGTGGAGTCAGATTCCCCAGGTTCAAATACTGTTTCTTCTCCTAGCAGTACGACCTTGAACAAAACCACTTAATGTGTCGGTGCCCCTGAGGAAGAATAGAACCTCCTTCACTGATTGTTGTGAGGATTTAATGAGCTAATACATGTCAATCTCTTAGAACAGTCCCTGGCCAATTATTAGCTATTATGAATATTGTCGGATCAATAAACAGATTTAGAAACAAGGGACGTTAGAGCTTGGTCCACAAGTATTGAGCTCAGAGGGGAAACCATAGGTGGAAAGAGGGCATGCATTTTACTCCTACCAGGAGATGTGGACTCCCAGCAGGGGCAGAAGGCAAAGTCTGAAACAAATATTAGCCATTTATTTTTTTCAGAGATGAGGGCAGCTGGGGCCAGAAAGGCGCTGAGCCAGGGCAGGTACCTGAGCCCAGGTCCAGAACTGTTTCTACCAAGCTCTCTCCTTTATATTCACAGGGAGGAGAAGTGAGCAAGTAAGGTTTAGCCATTGGGCACAGCTTCCATGCACAAAACAATGGAGGAATCTAGTACTATAAGTCCTGTCCCTTTGCCCCCCAAATGTCTCGCAAGTCAGTGCACTCCTCTCCCTCCATCTCCCTGGCTCCCTTGACCTGGGCCTGGACCACTGCCAGCCTCATGACTAGTCACCCATATCTACTCTCACAAGGCCTACAGATAGGACCCTATTCGTCTCCTGCCTAAAACTCTTCAAGGGCAAAATCCCCAGCAGGCCCCAGCGAGGGGACCTCTGGCTACTTCTCTGTTTAGTTCCTTGCACATTTAAGTGCCTCCTTCCTTTCTCAGGGCCTTTGCATTTTTTTGTCTCTGTTAGGGACATTCTTCCCAGTTCCTCTTCCCCTGGACTCCTATTTATCCTTCAGAACTCAGCTAAAACATTATCCCCTCCTCTGGGAAGCCTTCCAGGTCTTCCTGTTAAGTGCTCCTGGTTACTTATGCTTTTTTTTTTTTCTGCTGTCCCCAGTAGCTTGTCTGCATCACAAGGACGCATAGGGACTGTGTCTGTCTCAGTCAATGCCATATCCCCAGCACTTGGCATGTAACACACTGTCAGCAAGTATTTGTTGAATGAAGGGAGGTGGTCCCCTAGAGGAGTCATACAGTCGCTGGTCCAGTCTTGTAGGTGCCTTCAGATGGTCTCACTGCCTTCGTTAGCTAAAGAAATGCCCTTTGAGGCTGCTCTGTAGAAGGCTCTGAGCTGGTGGTATGCTGGCTCTGCAGTCGTTGGTTTTAAGATAATCCTGGGTGATTCCTGAGCAGGTGGCAGGAGGGGACCTGTCTGTGGAGCCTCTCCCTCAGCAAGGCCACCCTGGACAATGGAGAGCTGCCATCTTTTTTTTTGTTTTTAACTGAGATTTGAGATTCTCCAGAGACCTTCTTCCCACCCCTTGTTCGGAGTAATCCAGAAGTGACTGAAGTCCCTTGATATCATTGGTTCTATCTCAAAGGAAGGTGGAAACCTGGGAGTAGACAAAACCCAAGCTCTCAACTCAGCCCAGGACTTCAATGATAATGGTTTTCTCCAAATTAAAAGTAACATGATATGTTTTTATTTCTCATTTGCTTTTAGCCCAGAAGCCTCTTTGTTCTGGATAAACCAGTCAAAGTAAGTGCTTTGAATTCTAGATATCTATGGGATGCCTCCCATGTCCACTCTGGCACCCCTACAGTCCATTCTTAACATGGCAGGTGGTGATGCAGCTCTGGTCACAGGTGGAGGGGAGGGGTCCCAGGGGTCTGGCCTGTACTCCTCCAGCCCCCTAGTCTTGCCTTTATAGAGCCGTGACTCTTGTTTTGTCCGTGCTTCTCATCAACTATCTGTCTCTTTAAGTAGTGTTGTCTGGAGAACATTCCTGCCTTACTCATAAAAATAATCAGGGTAGATATTGTCCATTATGCAGCCCACTACATGTTGTATAAAGACCCCTGCAAGAAATTTTGTTGAGACAAAGGATCAGGAAAAAAGTTTGGGTTTCCCAGTGAACTAGTGTGTGGAGGAGGAGGAGGAGGAGGAGGAGGAGGAGGAGGAGGATTGGCAGTTAGGACTCTGTAAGCCTTCATTTTTCTGTCTTTGTCTTGGTTGCCAAGAAGCTCAGAGCAAAGTGTTGTGCTTAACTTGTACTTTCCTCAGGCTTCATTTCTGATATAATTTCTCCCCTGGTGTTAAATCCTGGCTTTTGTGCTTACATGCTATGGGATCTTGGCAATTTGCTCAAACCCACTCAACCAATATCTCAGCCATAAAATAAAAATAAAGGTAAAACTTTTATTCTCACAGAGTGGCTGAGATGACCCAAGTCATGTGAAAACACCTACCTGAGTGACTAAAATGTTCCTCTATTTCCTTTTGTTTTTGTTTGGTTTGTTTAGTTTTGTCTTTATTCTTGTATTGTTTCCCTATTTATTGTAACCATACCTTCTTTTTTTTTTAATTTTGGAAAATTTATTCATTTTATGCAAGTGGGAAAAAGAAAAGTAACCATACCTTCTTAATCATAAACCATCTCAAGCACTTCTTGAAAGTAGATGGGCTTTAAAATAGGTTTCTTATTATTTATACCCATTCATGCCTCACCACCTTATTTGTCCAACCGAAGGGCATTGTATCCCCTGGCTTCCCCCTCTTTTCCCGCCTCCGGAAGGTGCCCACCTTGGAGAGACTCTCACAGTGAATGTGGACACTTCAGCATGTGCGTGGTGAAAGTGGTTCTGATTACAGATTGCTGAGCTTCTTTCTGGTTTAGAGACCCTCAGATTCCCTGAGTCTGTCACTGCTGACCTTTGTAGCAACTCAAATTCTCCTCGTTTAGCAAAAGAGATCATTGTTGGAAACGTGCACTGTTTTCTTGAAAGACGCCGACTTGCTACAGTCATTTTCAACTTAGAAAGCTCTTTTACGTATGCTACTTTGTTTAGTCTTCAAAGCCACCTTCATGGTAGATTTATTATTGTTGTTGTTATTATTAGCATCTAACTTTTCAGAGGAGAAAATCAAGCTTCAGAGAGGGAAAATGTCCGATCACAGTCACACAACTAGTAAGTGGCAGATCCAGGACCCAGAGTTATGTATTAGTTACCTCCACATCTTGTCATTCTTCTCTCCTTCTCTCCCTGCTAGGGCTCCCTGGATGAGCTGAGCGCCAGGGGACGCCCAAGGGAGGGGAGATCCAGGGAGTGTCAGGTCCATCTCTCATTCAGCTAGAGTGGTGTCGCTTCGGCTCATTTTATGAATTAGTGATTTAAAAAAAATTTTTTTTAAGTGACCTGCCATGAAAAGAGTTTGGAAACCCCCCAGTTTGGGACTGCCTCTTTTTCTAAAAATGTTTGTCATCTTTTTCATTTCTTAGAAACCCAGAAGTTGGTGACAGCAGCATTCAGAAGGGCTGGTGGTTTCCAAGCTGGTTTAACAATGGGTAAGGCGGTCAGACGATGGTCTGTTTATCCACCCGACGCTATAGAGTCCAAATAAAATGGTTTCATATGGGGATATTTATATATGTAGAGCTGATTCACTTTGTCATACAGCAGAAACTAACACACCATTGTAAAGCATTTACACTCCAATAAAGATGTTAAAAAAAATTAAAGACTAAAAAAAAAAAAAAAAGTGGTTTCACAGCCATAAACTCAGTCACTTGTCTTTCTGGCCCATTGGAAGCACACAGGGACTCTATCTCATGGTTGGGACTGGGACATTAAGTTTGGTTTTCATGTTTTTGTTTTTTCCCATTTAACTTGAGGATGAGTGAAATTCAGGCTAAAGTTGGGATTGCAGGAAAGACTGTCATACGCTAAAACGTTTTCATGAGGACGGTTTTATGAAGTTTCCCTCCCCCTGAAATAACCTGATGGTTGTTGGGTCATTAAATTGCTAACTGTGCTGACCTGGGAGGATAATAAGAAAGGTGAGTACTGCACCTTTGCATCAAAAGTACGTCTTTATGAATAAACGTATAGTATCATGAACCTTTCTCCAGACATTCACTTAGTGCACATGTTCTCTGCCTTGGCACCCGTTTTTTTTTTTTTTTTTGCGGTACACGGGCCTCTCACTGTTGTGGCCTCTCCCGTTGCGGAGCACAGGCTCCGGACGCGCAGGCTCAGCGGCCATGGCTCACGGGACCCGCCGCTCCGCGGCATGTGGGATCTTCCCGGACCGGGGCACGAACCCGTGTCCCCTGCATCGGCAGGCGGACTCTCAACCACTGCGCCACCAGGGAAGCCCTTGGCACCCGTTTTTGCGGGATCCTCACTCACCTCCCTGCCTTCCTCAGCTTGTTTTCCCTTTGTATGTAGGACCCACAGTTACCACGAAGAAGAAGAAGACATAGACAAAGCAAAGGAACAAAGAAAGGAGGACGAAGAAGAGCTTCAGCTCTTGGACTGGTTTAATCCACAGTAAGAAAAGCAGCATTGCCCCAAGTTCAGTAAATCCATAGCTCAGCAGTGGTGGGGGGCTGCATAGGCAACAGTGCCGTGGAGAGCGTTCCTGACTGAGGAGACAGAGTCTTAGCATCTATTAGACTTTGAAAACAGATTAGATGAGAAACTGAGAGGCTGCATATTTTGACTTAAATGCTTGAGCAACAACTACAGTGATTCTGACAGCAGTTAGCCAGCGGCAGCAAATGAATCACAAAATACTGGGGCTGGAAATGTTCTTATAGGCCACGGGGTGTTGTGGAAAGCCACAGAATCTAGAGTCAGAGCAAGAAAATTCTGTGATTCGGTTAACTCATCTGTAAAATGGCGGTGATGATCCAGAATCTCATAGGGCCATGTACGCATTCTTTAACATACAACAAATGTTTATCAAACGCCTATGATATGCTAGCTGGTGTTTTTCAAACTACCGGTCACTGCCCATTAATGTGTTCAGAAATTAGCTGAATGGGTTAAAAACAGCTTTTTAAAAAGTTGAAATCAAATAGAAAATCAGAAGGTATCACATGAAGTAAGGATAGGTGTTGTTTAGTGGAATTTTTGCTTCCGTATATATGTGTATGTGCATATGTGTTTGTGACAGAAGATGTATTTCTCACTATGAGTCATGGTCAAAAATTCTATACTAGACATTGTGTTAGGCACAGGAGACAGTAGAAATCAATCAGTATGGTTATATTCAAGAAGTTCACAGTCCTGTAGGGGCACTAGGTGTGCAACTAGTGTTCGCCATGATTAGTAAGGAGGTGTGACCAACCTGACTTAGAAGGATGCGGTTTGGGGGTTAGGAGGTAAGAGCTGTCCGGGATGACCCTGAGGCCTGAGAGACTGGTGGTTGGTGATGCCATTGACCAGGAAAGGGTCTGTTAGTGGTGGTGGGGGCGTGAGGGACGATGATCTCGACTGGGGATGTATGTGGATTCAGGTGCTTGTAGGGTATCTGGACAGAGATTCACAGGGTGCCTGTCTTTGTCATTCAGGCTGCTATAACAAGATACCATAGACTGGATGGCTTATAAACAACAAAAATATATTTTGTACAGTTCTGGAGGCTGGGAAGTCCAAGATCAAGGCCTCAGAAGATGTGGTGTCTGATGAGGACCCACTTCCTAATGTATACACGGTCATCTTCTCACTGTTTTCTCACGTGGTAGAAGGGAAGAGGGAACTCTCTGGGGTCTCTTTTCTAAGGGCACTAATTCCATTCATGAGGGTTCCACCCTCATGACCTAATCACCTCCCTAAGGCCCCACCCACTAATACCATCATGTATGGGATTAGGTTTCAACACATGAATTTTGGGGGGACACAATAGTCTATAGCAGTGCCCGTAAGTGTGGCAGAAGATACGTAGTAGAGATGTAGGAAGAGGAGCCATCAGAGTACAGGTGGCAATGGGATCTACAGGCCAGGTGGATGTCTGACATCAGCCTTTACAGGGCCAGTGGAGGAAGAAAAGTCTGAAGAGGAGCAGGAGTGGCTGTAGAGGTAGGAGGATCAGGGGAGAGTAGTATCTATTCCAGCATGAGGGGGCTTGGGCTCTGGAAAGACTGAACATGTTCTGGCAAGTTGTCTTACTGTTTTGGGATAAGGGAACCATGTCAGTGTGAAAAGATGGGGAATTTTGGCCTCCCATGTGTCATTTGAAGAGCTAGACAATGACATAGGGTAGCCATCTATGAGATGCTAAACCATTCCTGGAAATGTAAGAATATGGTGGCGCTGTAGCTTTGACAAGCTCCTTAGATGTGTGTGGGGGGGGGCGGTGAGACACCCCCGCCCCCGTGCCCCACGCCAAGGGCCAGCTAGATGAGCTAGAGATGGTCGCCAAGCTACCTTCAAAGGAGGGCGGCACACTTTTACTGTGGTATTTGTGCTTTGCGGAGTGAGACTTGGAAGGCGGGGCCGGGGCTGAATTACTGGGGTCAGAGAAGAGGAACAGCTCACAGCCACCAGCGGTCACTCTCTCCACTCTCCCCCACGCACGGCTCAGTTTCTCCTCAAACAACCGGCGGTGACACCAAATCTAAGCCTTCTCAGGAACTAAAGTATGTTTCTTGCATAACTGAATGAAAGATGAACAATTGAATTAACAAATATATTTATAGAAATGTATCCTTTTCTGTAAACTTAAGATGTCTGAAACATCTTAAGTATATTGTGTATGCATTTTTACATCAATATCACTTACTCTCTGTATCATCACATCCTCTTAATTTTCCTCCTGCTTCTCCCATCTCCCTTCTCAGTCTCCTTAATTGGGGCCTCTCCCTCTTCCCAGCCATTAAATATTAGTTTCTGGAGGTTGAGTCCAGTATCCTTATCTCTTTTCTTTATACCATCTTCCAATGTGCTCTCACCCATTTCCATGGCATTAGACACCATCCATGGGAGAATGACACCCACATTTATATCTTTAGTCCAAAGGTTTTCCCTGATCCCCTGCTTGTGTCTGACTGCCTGCCTGACACCTCTGTGTGTCTCACGTGACCCAGATGGAGTTCTTGATTCTACACCACCCTCATTCTTCTCATTCCCCATCTCAAGCCAGAGTCCAGGAGACCTCTCTGATTCCTCCTTCAGCCTTTCCTTCATCCATCCCACAGTCTAATTCATTTACATGTTCTGTTAACTCTTCTCCCCAAATTTTTCCCACATCATCTCCTTCTCGCCCTCCCACAGCCACCACCCTTGTTCATGTCACCATCAGCTCTTGTCTACGTGCTGCTGCCTGGAAGGAGTCCAGTAAATAACACGTTGTATGCATTCCACACCTGTTTTGAACTGCTGCGTGATTCATAGAACTTTAACACTTCCTCTTCCCCATCCTTGGGGACCACAGTGTACCCATAAATAAGTACACAGAATGTAAAAGCTACCAATTACCTAGCTAGGTGTGTGTTTGGGTTATGGAGGCCCTTTTATCTTGAGGGAAACCTTTAGCCTGTACTGGTGGAACCCCACAAGCTGAAGTAACACAGTGGGTGCCCTGCTTGGAAAGAAGGCATTTGGGCAGTTTCCCATCTTTCCTGGTACTTTTTCCTCCTTTTAGAGCCCCATCTTGGTAACCTTGGACATCTTTTGCTCTTACACATGTGTGGTTTGCCTGCTGTCACTTGTCTTTTTTTTTTTTTTCAGGGTGGGGTGGGGTGGGGTCTGAGCAGAGGTTCATCCAGGAAGCTGATCTCGATCATCTTCCCACCCCATCTTCCTCCCCACGGCCTGCATTTTCAGCCTGTCATCTGGCTTCCTAGTCAGGGTCGCTGACACGTTGGAATTGCCAGTGGAATTTAATAATTAACAGCTGGGAAATAGAACATTTTAATTTTTAATGAAATGTTAATTTTAATATTACTGCTTTTTTTTTTTTTTTTTCCCTTCTCAAAGGACTCTTCCCAGCCAAGTAAACAAACTGGACACTGGTGTCCTGACTCAGTCTTTCTAGAAGGTGTAGACTGAGTGGTCGTGCAGTGGAGGAGCATGTGGTAGACCACCTGTCAGGACTGTGAGACTCTCAAGGGGTAGGACAGGTCTCATTCCTCTGATCTCCATGCTCAGCTCTGGGCCTGGCACAGAGCAGAGACTTAGCAGATGTGCGTGGTGGGGCTGAGGGCCCTGGTCTGGCCCCTCCTGTTGATTAAATGGCGAAAGATGTAGTTCCCTTCTCCTTCTCGCCTACCCCTGCTTTCTTTATTTGTGAAACGGGTGAGGACAGCACCCGCCCTAGAAGGTAGTTGTGAGGATTCAATGAGAGAATGAAAGTCAAGGACAGCCCCTGTACCCAGAAGTATTAAATAAGAATACCGTCCTTTCCTCCTTTTTCTCTTCCTTTTCTTAAAAATAATATTACCGGCTTGCCAAATGTTCAGCTCACGCGTGGCTGCATGGCTTAGCTGATGGGCTGGGACAGAGCTGCTAAGAGATCCTTGACAGGCAATGGATGAGGTGACAATGCATGGGAGGGTTTATGTTCAGAAACATTGGTTATAGAATGATAAGCCGTGTGTGTGTGTGTGCGTGTGTTGGTTTGAAATCCAGTCATTCAACAAAGCTGGGAGTTTTATGTGACTAAAAGCATCACATAAGCTTCTAAAAACAAAACAAAAAAACCTCATCATTTCTCATTCTGCACTGATAAAAAATGCTGAAGTAGTAAGTTGAGTGGAAATGACTGACAAACCTGTGTTTTAACCCCATTTCATCAGCCTAGCAAATAAATATGCAATATAAGAAGCAACAGAAATAGTGGTTCAGAGCACACACTACAGAGTCAGGTTATCTGGGTTCAAATCCCAGCTTGGCTTCTTACTAGCTGTGTGACCTCAGACAAGTTGTTTGACTGCTCCGTGCTGCAGTTTCCTCATTGATAAAATGGGACTCAACATAGCACCTACCTCTGAAGGGTGAAGCCCTTGGTGCTGTGCCTGGTTCCATAGGAAGTGTCCAGTGTGTGTTAGTTACATCATTAGCTGTTTGGCCTTGGACATGTTAACAAGCCTTTCTGAGCCTTGGTTTTCTTATCTGTACAATGAACATAATACACGGCAGGGCTTTTGCAGGGACTACATGAGAAAGTGTATGTGAAAGTATCTCACAGGTTGGTGCAGAGTCCAAAATAGCTTCTTTCATGATGGAAGGAAACCAAGAGCAGCTCTCCCTGTGCAGCCATGCAGCCATGCAGCTGTCTTACCCGGGGTGGGAGGGCAGAGCTGGGGTGGGGTTTGAGACCCCAGGCAAGATGGGGGCGGCTGCGAGAGCAGCCTGGCAGTGTCCCTCCCCGTCTCTGGAGGAGATTCACTGTGTGGGGAAGAAGGAAGCAGCCCTGAAGCAGGGCACAGGGCAGGGGTGGGAGGGCTGAGTCAGCTCCAGAATAGGAGTGCAGAGCTTGGGGACAGAGGGACAGGAGGCATGAGTGAGACTCTACTGGGGGCTGGGGTTAGCAGGGCGTGACCCAGCCTTGCCCAGCCTCACTGGAAAAACTCAGCTTCGTCCATGGGGGTTGAGTCTAAATGACTGTCTACTTCCCAACAGGCAAGTGCAGTCACTTCCAGAGCAAATGGGGGTCAGAGCTGAGTCTCCGCCATCCCACTCCCATCCCCCCACCCCGCCTCAGACTGGGCCCCAGCTGCTACTCAGCCTTTCTGCATTTACTCTTCACAGTTTGGTGTTTTGTCGTTGCTCTTACGTTGCTTCCTGTGTTTGTGTTGGCTTTGCCAAGTCCCTTTCAAGTGTTCTGAGTGCAGAGAACATCCTCCCCTCCCACCTCCCCCAGCTTTGTGCCTTTAGTAGAGAGGCCACGTGGTCTGAGAGAGGTCGGAGCAAGAACCCCAGCCTGCAGGGTCCCTTCTTTCCTGGGTGACTGTCTCCTTGTTTGTCAAATGAACGATAAACACCAGAACCCCCTTAGTCTGGGGCCCTTTTTGCCCTATAACCAGGTTCCAACCCAGGGATCCCCTTCTAGCAAAATGCAAATTGAAACAGCGGCTTCTTCCTCTTTCAGCTCTCGTGGCACTCTCTGGTCCCCCTGCATCAAGCACTAGGGCTTTCTCAGGGTCAGATGGCACCCACAGGGATGAAGAACACCCAGAGATGCCACTGGAAGCTTAGGAAGGGGCTGGGGAGACCACAGGAGAGATTTAGAAGGAAGACGAGGACAAGGAAAGCAGGAAGGCGGGGGGACGGAGGGTTTGAGTTGTACAGGTAAGATCCCCACAGGCTCCCCCAACACAGCCCTCAGAGACACCTGGGCCAGGGTCTCCTGTCCCTCACCCAGAAGATGATGCAAATGTCATACCACCAGCCGACTGTCTGAGGTTAAACTATAGTCGGGATTCAAGGACAGTCACCATAAGCCGTGGCTGACCCGTTTTCCCTCAGACCGTCTCTGCCCTACCTTAAAAGCCATCCTGATTCATGGACTCTGTTTTGTCACCAGTAAACGCCCAGAGGTTGTGACCATGACCGGATGGAAGGCGCCAGTGGTGTGGGAAGGCACCTACAGCAGAGCTATCCTAGAAAATTATTATGCCAAACAGAAAATTACCGTGGGCTTGACGGTTTTTGCTGTCGGAAGGTAGGTGTTGCCAATTAAACTGACTTTACTTTTTTTTGTTCCACTGTCAGAAGGTTGGTGAGGGGTCCCCTGGGCGTATGGAGGCTGTTCGTGACGTGTATGAATTGTTAGACAGGAGAATGGAGTAAGAGGACCATTTCAGGCTCATTTCTGCTGAGGCCCCAAAAGGCTGAGAACAAGACAGTGATCGGGGAGTCGACAACTTCCCACCTCATTGAGGGCCTCGGTTGCAGGTAAGAATGTCTGCTGCACCCACTGAGCCCGGAGTCTACAGCACGCCCACAGCCGCCTCTGCCCTGACCTCCAAAGCTCTCTGGAAATTCCAAAAATGCCAGCTGTTAGACAGCCCGAATGGGCGTCATTGTTTCTCCTACGCTCTCAAGACCCCGGAACAAGGACCAGGGAGAGAAGTGACCTAAGTGCGGTGGTTTTCCACATCAGCATGGCTGACCACTCCTCCATGGGTTCTTGGGCTGCTTCCTGCCCCATTCATCCTGGAGGCTTTGGCCCCAGGAGATTTGGCTGGTCAGAACTTCCTCTTCCAGAGGTTGGATAGGTTCCTGTTTCAGCTTCCATTTCCTTGTTTAGAACATTGCTCCCCAAACTGCAATCATTCTTACTTAAAAGTAGTAGCTGTAATCTTAGTTTAAAATACAATATAACCCATTTTGTTCTTTTGGGTTATACTGAAGATTTTTTTTTTCCAAAACAAAATTAAAAGTTCACTTTTCCTATTAGCCTCCTCCCTCCTCCCCGCCCCCGCCGCCCCGCCATGGGCCTTCCCACCTGTACCTTTTCCAAAAGCCACATGGAAAATTGACCTCTCGCCTGTACAAAGAGGGGTGAAGGCCCAGGATGACCTGAGTGAAGATCTGAGCGTTCTCCCGAGACCTCTGACCCAGAGCCCAGAAGCCATTGCCATCACCGTACTGATCAAGTCCTAATGTCACTAAATGTGCTGATCCCAGGGGCCTAGGCGGCATCTCTAATTGAGAAGGGTGACTGGAGTTTTGACATTTTTACTAGAAGAATCTGTACTGTTATGAGTCGGGAGCAGATGCTCAGCTCACCTTATCCTTTGGTACGAGAGGGGACAAGCCAGCCACACTGCTGACTGATTTAATCCTGATGTTTCCAAAAAGAACAGAACGTTGCCGGCGGCTCCACAATGGTTTCTGCCATCTCCTTGCAGCTTCTCAGAACTAAACTGTAAATCACATATCCTGGTGAAATCCATGTGCTCTCCGCTCGGGGGCATGAGAGGACTGTTTGTACCCGGCAGCAATAAATCCTCCCAAGAGTGGATTTGGACTTTTAGGAGGTATGATGTTTGGTTTGTTTTCAAATAACAATGCACAGAGCCAACGGCAGTGCTTTAATCTCTAAACAATGTTAAACCTCACAAAGGCCCCCTCCCTTCCCCTGGGATTATCTCCCAGCCTTCAGGGTGCAATAGATTGTTCTTAAAGTTCCAGAGTATGGAAGAATTTCCTGGCCACCAGCCCCAGAGCCATGTTGAAGTCCCTCTTAATATTGCTCCGATATATTCTCTCCATTTAAAGAATCAATACTGTCAACGCTGGGGTTTCCAGAGACCAATATTAAAAACACAGTTTGTTTTTGTAGTAACGAAAGGGAATCCAAGCAGCAACCAAAAAGCAAAAAGAAGTGCCACTTATTATTACTCACAAAACACCATAATTGGCTGTTAGTGTGATCAGCAAATTACACTTATTCCACCTTCACTGAGCATGAGTCTGGGGGTGGCATGAGTTGTGTTAAGCCAATCAACTACTCTTTCTTCCCCTTTTCTGTCATCCCCATGGCTTCACAAGATAGCGTGTAGCTTGGCTTACAGAAGACACGAACATGATGTTCTGTTTTGTTTTGTTTTAATTTATTTATTTAATTTTATTTTTGGCTGCGCTGGGTCTTCGGTGCTGCGTGAGGCCTTCCTCTAGTTGTGGCGAGCGGGGGCTACTCTTTGTTGTGCGCAGGCTTCTCATTGCGGTGGCTTCTCGTTGCGGAGCACGGGCTCTAGGCGCACGGGCTTCAGTAGTTGTGGCGCGCAGGCTCAGTAGTTGTGGCGCACGGGCTTAGTTGCCCCACGGCATGTGGGATCTTCCCAGACCAGGGATCAAACCTGTGTCTCCTGCATTGGCAGGCGGATTCTCAACCACTGCACCACCAGGGAAGTCCCAAACATGATGTTTTCTGAATGAATAAGTAAATAGCTAAAATACCACTGCACATCTATTAGAATGACCCAAATCCAAACCACTGACACCACCAACTGCTGGCGAAAATGTGGAGCGGGAGGTACTCTCGCTCACTGCTGGCGGGATGCAAAATGGTGCAGCCACTTTGGAAGACGCTTCGCCGGATTCTCACAAAACCGAACATGCTTTTATCATCCGGTCCAGCAGCTGCACTCCTTGGCGTTTACCCAAAAAAGCTGAAACTTTATGTCCACACAGAAACTTGCATACAGATGTTTATAGCAGCTTTATTCATAACTGCCCAAACTTGGACGTAACTAAGATGTCCTTTAGTAGGTGAATGGATCAATAAACTGTGGCACATCCAGATGGTGGAATATTATCAGTGCAAAAAAAAAAACTATCAAGGCTTGAGAAGACATGGAGGAACCTTAAATGCACATTACTAAGTAAAAGAAACCAATCTGAAAAGACTACATACTGTACAATTTCAACTATATGACATTCTGGAAAAGGCAAAACTATGGAGAAAGTAAAAAGATCAGTAGTTACCGGGGGTTGGAGTAGGGAAATGGTTGAATAGGCATAACACAGAATTTTTAGGGCAGTGAAAATACTCTGTATAATACCATACATAATGAAAGATACCTGTCGTTATATATTTGTCCAAACCCATAGAATGTAAACTGTGGACTTAGCCTGATAACGATGTGTCAAGGTGGGTTCATCGACTGCAATGCGTGTGCCACCCTGGTGCTGGACGTTGATACTGGGGAAGCTGTGGGAGGGACAGGGGAGCGGGGGGGCATATGGGAACCCTCTGCAATTTCAGCTCAATTTTGCTGTGAGCCTAAACATGCTCTAAAAAATAAAATCTATTTTTAAAAAAGGAAATGAGATAGTTAAAATAACGTTAAATCAGAGCTTGTTTGCTCTGGTATTGGGATGGGTCTTATAATGGCAGTATCTGGTTAATGGACTGGTGTTTGGGGTGACCAGAGGGAAATTCACAGGCGAATGTGTAATATGGAAGGATATCCATGTCCCATAACCCATTCTCTGGGTCCCAGAGAAGGATAAGAGAGTGGCGATGGTTAGACTTAATGCATCCCCAAATGACCCAAGGGTCACGTCACCCTTGCATCTGGTAGGGCAATAGCAACATTGGAGTATAGGTTGGGGTTTTCAAGGGAGGCCTGAGAACTAGTGCCCCCTGATGTTGATTGAAGGGTACATACCTGCAGTTATCAGATGAATAAGTTCTGGGGATCTAACACACAGCATGGTGATTATCGTTAATAATGTTGTATTGTAGACTTGAAAACTGTTCAGAGAATAAATCTCAAATCTTCTTGCCACAAAAAAGAAATGATAATTATGTGATGTGATGAAGGTGTTAACTAATGCTACAGTGGTAATCACTTTGTAAGATATGTGCACCAAATCAACACTTGGCACACGTTAAACTTACACAACGATATATGTCAATTATATCTCAATAAAGCAGGAACAAAAAAGAACTAGTACCCCCTCTGCCTGCCCAAAGTCTGAATCAACTGATAAGTAAGACAAGGAGCTAAGTAAGGCAGGTGGTAGTGAATATCACCTTCATTACAGTTAAAGCTGATACTGGAGAACGTGGCTTATATCTGAAGGCCCTGGGCCTCCTAATGTTGAACCACAGAATTAGAAAGACTTGGGCATCCAGGCACCTACAGCACAAGAAACTGCAAGCCTCTGGTTGTGGGAGCAGGGCCTGTACCACTAAGCTACCAGTACAAGGCCCAGAGCAGTTGAGAGCACATGTTCTTTCCACCTGGCCGGCTTCCAAGAGTGAGAGAGGAGGGGGTGGGGCTGGGCATGCCCAGTCACCCTTCTAGAAGCATCAGTCAGGTAAGTCACTCCACCTCCCCGAATGAGTGACTGAATGGTGGAGAGTGGCCAGGAGCGTCCCTCTGTGAAAGCACTTGTCTGGGATGGGAAATAATTCCTTTCGTAAACTGCAAAATACAGACAAGATGATGAGAATAGCATGTCGCCTCCTGCAGAAATCCTAGAGGTTACATTTATCCCATCCTTCTTTGTTTCAGATACATTGAGCATTACTTGGAGGAGTTCTTAACATCTGCTAATAAGTACTTCATGGCTGGCCACAGAGTCATATTTTACATCATGGTGGATGATGTCTCCAGGATGCCTTTGATAGAGCTGGGTCCTCTGCGTTCCTTCAAAGTGTTTGAGATCAGGCCTGAGAAGAGGTGGCAGGACATCAGCATGATGCGCATGAAGACCATCGGGGAGCACATTGTGGCCCACATCCAGCATGAGGTCGACTTCCTCTTCTGCATGGACGTGGACCAGGTCTTCCAAGACACCTTTGGGCTGGAGACCCTGGGCCAGTCGGTGGCTCAGCTGCAGGCCTGGTGGTACAAGGCAGATCCTGACGAGTTCACCTACGAGAGGCGGAAAGAGTCCGCAGCATACATTCCGTTTGGCCAGGGGGATTTTTATTACCATGCGGCCATTTTTGGGGGAACACCCATTCAGGTCCTAAACATCACCGAGGAGTGCTTCAGGGGAATCCTCCAGGACAAGAAAAATGACATAGAAGCCGAGTGGCATGATGAAAGCCATCTAAACAAGTATTTCCTTCTCAACAAACCCACTAAAATCTTATCCCCAGAATACTGCTGGGATTATCATATAGGCCTGCCTTCAGATATTAAGCTTGTCAAGATATCTTGGCAGACAAAAGAATATAATTTGGTTAGAAATAACGTCTGACTTTAAATTGTGCCGGTAGGTTTCTGAATTTGAGAGAGTATTATTCTGGCTACTTCTTCGGAAAAGTAACACTTAATTTTAACTTAAAAAAAAAATACTAACAAAACACCAACACAGCAAGTACATATTACTCCTCCTTGCAACTTCAAGCCTTGTAATATGGGAGAATGAACCTATGGTAATCAGATGTAAATTCCTAGTGATTTCTTACCTTTTCTGGGTTGGGGGGGATACACTACCAGCTAAACAAAAAAAAAGAAAAAATTGTCATGGGCAAAGAAAAAGCCAGAAACACTCTACATGCGTCAGTTGACCTACCAGAGAAAAGTATGCATAGGGAAATGTTTGGCAACAAGATACGATTGTGAGCGGTTGTCCTCTTGATTTCAGTGTCTTCCTGTCTCTGCTAGCAGAGTTGTTCTGCAAACAGGAGAACTCTTAGTAGGACACGGTTAACCTTGGCAACCCTCAAGTGGTTTCAACAGCAGAGTACTGCAGGCCATTTGTAGTCCACGTCCTTTTCTTATCAGGATGTTGTTTGGCTTCCGTGCAAAGACTGGTCAAGACTCCCAGTGGATATCATAGTGACGAATGTTGCGAGTCACAGGGCATCTGATGAGCCAGTGGGTGCTCAGCATGAAATGAAAACAAGCCTCAAAGTAAGTTTGCCATGAAATAACAGAGAGTAGAGAGACGGGGCTGATCACTGTGGGGGCAGTGCCACCTCTGAGGGGAACAGGGCATGGGGTTGGCACATAAATACAGCAGCATGGATGCCGGCACTGAATGGGAGGCAATGTGGGTGGTCTCCAGGCTCCTCAACCGTTATGACACCAAGAGAAGTGTTGTCTTAGAAGATGCTTCTTGTTTTGGCCAAGTCATATTCGGTCCACCGTGCTCTGGAACTTGAGTCTTCAAATCCTTGGCCAGAGGAAGCGGGTGGTGTCAGAGTAGACAAAGACCTGCAGGGGATTGAAGAGGCTTGCAAGGGGTTACGTTTCCCAGACCTGGGCTTCGTTTCAGGACAGTCGGTCATCAGCAGATCCTGCCACCACCTGTTCTAACCCTCAGCCCGTCATGCCCCAACTTGGAGGGCTGACATCAAGGAACCTCTTGTTTTCCCCTGCCCCATCTGCACTACTGAAGTGTAACAATCAGATGTGTATAATAAAACAGTTCATTGATTTTATATCAAAAGTAGAGGGCATGGCAATGGGAGACCCAGTCTTCGTGACTGAACAGCTTAACCTTCAATTCCTTTCTCTAAGAGAAGCTATGGGCTTCCCTGGTGGCGCAGTGGTTGAGAGTCCGCCTGCCGATACAGGGGACATGGGTTCGTGCCCCAGTCCGGGAAGATCCCACATGCCGTGGAGCGGCTGGGCCCGTGAGCCATGGCCGCTGAGCCTGCGCGTCCAGAGCCTGTGCTCTGCAACGGGAGAGGCCACAGCGGTGAGAGGCCCGCGTACCGAACAAATACTAGGTTATCTGATTCACGATTTTTCAAAGGTCTCAAAATGTCCTGCTTGAAAACCGTCTACCCTCTTAGGATTCTCTACATGAATTCCCAACCCATTATACCATAAATGTTAAATCTCCAAGAAGAAGCTGTATAAAATTACTATGTGATCTTTGTAAAACGAAAGGTAAGAGTTTGTCCTTAAGTTCAACCATCAAGCCATATCTAATTCCTTTCTGCACACAGAGAATTTCATATTCCATAGATTACGTATCACAAAGGAATTCTGTAAACTTGATGGCTCAAATTCCAAGGCCAATGCACAAATAATCTAAAAATTATAGTTTAGCCTCCAGCCAGTGGTCTGAATCAATTTTGTATTCAAATACTTTTGAGAAGGGGCACATATTTTATGCTGTTAGCAGTCCTATCACCTTTCTTAGAATGATCTTCATAATATTGTTTAATTAAAAATAATAACTTCCTTCATAACTATACAACTCTTTAGAGTCCAAGTAAGTATTTTCATAATGATCTCTTTCTCTGACACCCACCCTGTGAGCTAGGGTGGCTTGGAAGTGGCATTTATACTTTTCTTTTCTGTAGGAAAAGCCCTTTGTGCTTTAGAAAAAGACAAATAAAGGTTGTAAGAGCTCTTGTATCAGGTCAGCTTATGCCAGCTAATGTCCTAAGTCTTTGGGCAGCTAGCTCAAATAAACAGTGTTTCTACTGACTTAACTCTATTTTCGTATAGACAGATATCCAAGGAGCAGAGGTGCCTTACATCCCAGCCAATATCTATTACCTCATCTAGTTTAAGTCATGGAGAGGTAGGATTCAACACAGCATACTCTGTGTACATTGTGCTTTATTTAATCTAGTTTTATCCGTTTTTTTTATCGTTCCAGGAAAGAATGAGATACCAAAGGAAAATAATTCAATTGTTATTAATCTTATTGTTTCTGTGGGCCTTGCATAGAGCGTATCATTTCAGGTAACTTTAAAAAATTAATGATATTTTATTCTGGTGTTGGTAAGGATCTGGCATGTCAGAAAGGTGATAGGTTTTCCCCCTGAATGGATCAGCATCTAAATATATTGATCCTAATATACCCAATTATATCCAAATAATATCCAAGTATATCAGCATAAACATAGCCTTGGCAAAAAGTTCTTTGTTTCTAATGTAATCAGAGCTAAATGTAAATTTTATAGGCCCATGTGTGTGAGAAGAAGCAATGTTAAGCCATCAAGACAGTTACCATGTAATTATGGCAGTGTAATGTTAGTACATGTTATAGAGAAACTGCTGTTTTTAAATAGGTGGCATTTTTTAAAAAAAGAAATGTCCCTAATATTGTTGACTTCAGACACTAAGTGTGGTATTTGCCCTCCACATATTTGAGCAAGAAGAAAGTCTTCATTGGCAATTAGCAAATTTCACTGGGTTTTTTTTTGTTGGTTGGTTGGATTTTTTGGCCTCGCCATGCAGCTTGCAGGATCTTAGTTCCCCTACCAGGGATTGAACCCAGGCCCTCTGCAGTGAAAGTGCTGAGTCTTAACCACTGGACCACCAGGGAGTTCCCACAAACTTTGTTGTTTAAATGTTATTAAGTTTCTCTGTCATTTGTATCTCAAATAATTACTTTATTTTTTCAGATATAGCATATGAGGTCATAACTACAGTGATTTTTATCATGTTTATTACTGTATCTCTATAACCAGCAATGTATTTGGCACATAGTGTATGTCTTAGTCTATTCAAGGTGCTATAACAAAATACCATAGACTGGTTGGCTTATGAACAACAGAAATTTCTCACAGTTCTGGAGGTTGGGAAGTCCAAGATCAAGGCACCAGCAGATTTGGTGTATGCTGAGGACCTACTTTCTAGTTCATACACAGCCATCTTTTCAATGTGTCCTTCCATGGCAGAAGAATCTCTGCCATGGGATCTCTTTCCTAACGGCACCAATCCCATTCACGAGGGCTCCATCCTCATGACCTACTCACCTCCCAAAGGCCCCACCTCCTAATACCATCACACTGGGGGTTGGAACTTCAACATATAAATTTGAGAGGGACACAAATATTCCATGCATAACATTATATGTTCATTAAATATTTGGTAATATTAAGTAGTAAAATTAGGTAATAAAATTAATGGATTTATAGGGGTATAACTCTAGTCATCTTAAATGTGGAAGCCCATTATTTTAAAATTAATACAATGCTTTTCATTTATCCTAAGCACAAAGAAACTACAAAGGATATATCAGTGCTGGTAAGTCTTTATCTACAGATATGCTATGACCTCTTTTTTGAAGATGAAATCAATTGGAGGGCAATGGACTACATGCAAGTCCTTGGTTCCGATGGACAGGATAAACCAAAGCAATTGTACAAATGGGCATTGGAGATATTTGTTTAAGGTCAGAGTACTAGGAGTCAAAGAAAGAGCAGACTGGCAGAGCGCCACCTCTGATTAGAGGAATGAGACCTGGATAGAGGAAATGTGTTACAGAAGCCAGAACCGTGCCTCCAGGAACCTTGGGTCCTTTAAAGGACCCAAGCTTTAAAGCTCTGGGAAAACATGCAGGAGCCCAGTGTTGGCTAACAGACTCTCAGGTATTAACCACATACCACCTACAAAATCATGCCATCAGAATGTGTGCAGAGAGGAAATTCCCCAAAGATTGTCCAAGATTCAGTATCATAAGATGTTCCTCAACTTCTCCCTACAGTCATGGGAACAAACATAGTGAAGTGAAAGCAACTTTCCTTTCTGTTGCTCGTTGTGTCCAGGGACTTGTCTCTCTGAGGGTTCCATGATTTTTAACACCCCCACTAAGACCAAGACTCCATACTTGGGTGAGCGGTGCTCTGCATGAAAGTAATAAAGAAGGTTTTCATGTACCAGGCAGAGTATGTTTCCCCTATATACAGCCATGGCTAGCAGGGCACTGGAACTTTCAACCACCTGAAAAAAGCAGGAAAATCCTAGGCAAAGGTGGGAACATTCAAGGAAAGTCTGCTACAGCAGACACTGATAGAAAGAATGGATTAAAATGTTTTCTGCCAAAATGTATTTAATGCAATACAACCTAACAATCATTCTCTCTATTATTAATGTTAGCTCTCCTTAGCATCAGGATTCTATAGCCCTAGCATAGTAATACTCATCATCCAAGGCATCGCTATCAGTGGAAGCTGGTGGCTGGTAGAATGTCATGTCTCAGCCACACTCTGCCATAGCAGTTACTCCCATCTGTGTACACAGGCACAAAGACAGTCTCATGACATACGACTCAGCTCCATAGCTGCCTCATCCCCTCGTTAACTCAGCCCAGGATCAGCTCTCTAAGGGTGTCCTAGCCAGGGTGCTATTAGAGTATTTAGGAAAGAGGAAGAGTAAGGACTCAGGCATGATTGCTTGTCTTTTCACCTACTGTGCAACTATGGACAAGATAATAAAAGCTCTCTCAGTTTATCTCATAGTGGTGGATTAAATTTGATAATATAAGTATTCAATAAGTATTAGCGATTAATGAAGGGAATCTAAGCTCATCTGGCAGATTAGGGAATATTCCCCTTAGGAAGGGATATTTAAATGAGACCTAAAGGCTATGTGGGAATTAGCTGGTACAGCTGATACTACAACTGAGTATTCAGCCAGCCATTTCATAAAGTTAGCTGCTTCTGGATCATGAGTCACATGGTAAAACCAGTGAACCCCATGGACATGAGCCTATTGTAGCACTTACTTGACAATAAAATCTATCCCCATCAGAGGCAATGGATAAAGCTTTCTATTAGTCCACAAGTGGTGGTGCTGACAAAAGCACTGTGGGAGGATTTCCCTGGTGGCGCAGTGGTTAAGAATCCACCTGCCAATGCAGGGGACACAGGTTCGAGCCCTTGTCCGGGAAGATCCCACATGTCGCAGAGCAACGAAGCCCGTGCGCCACAACTACTGAAGGCTGTGCTCTAGAGCCCGCGAGCCACAACTACTGAAACCCGCACGCCTAGAGCCTGTGCTCTGCAACAAGAGAAGCCACTGCAATGAGAAGCCCGTGCACCACAACAAAGACCCAAGGCAGCCAAAAATAAATAAATAAATTTTAAAAAAGAAGCACTGTGGGGAAGAAAGGCAATCTGTATTCAGAATATATTTGTTTGAGGACAAATTTCTTTCCCTTCCCTGATGGAAAAGATCCAAGGTAACCAATAAGCCACTGGTGGCCAGCTGGTCCCTCAGAAGAAAGGCGCCATATGAAGTACTCTGGGTGGCCTCTGCTGTTGGATGGCTGGGCATTTAGCAGTGGAGCAGAGGCCAGGTCATCAGTGATGAAAGTGATACCAAGCAGGGCCCTGTGGGGCTCCTGGACACAAAAGCCTTTCTGTGTCCCCCATTTCTTTGATTACAGGAAATAGGCTTCATTCCAATGGGCAGATTCAAGCAGTTGTTAATTAGGGAAGGGAGGGGATGCAAGACAAGGGAGAAACACACAGTCAAGAGAAACAATATTGCAGCCTTTGGGCAGGTCCTGGTTCCCCATCAGAGGATACACACAGTATCTTTGAGCTGTTTTGCAGATACAGAAACCCCCACTAGGTGGAAGGAGTTAATTGTTAACGATGGTATGCTGCCCACAAGCACGTAGACCCCAGACCAGTTGGAACCTGAGAGTTGATGTTGCTGACTCCTACTTGCCTCACCACCAACCAGTTAGAAGAATGTCCACGAGCTGATCACACCCTCTTTGAACAATTACCGTAAAGCTCCTCACTACTCTCTCCAAGTGGGGACACACAGGACACACAGTTTTGAGGGCATTAGCCTGCTGTGGCTCCCTTTGCCTGGCAAAGCAATAAAGCTATTCTTTTCCACTTCACCCAAAACTCTGTCTCTGATATTTAATTCAGTGTCAGGGTGCAGAGGCCAGATTAGGCTTCAAATGGAAGTCTGTTTTACTAAGCCCGTGGAGAGCCTCCATCCCTGCCACTAAAGCCATTTCGTACACGGGCCCCTCCAGCAAGCACTGGGGTGACTACAGAAAGAGGCTGACCAACATCACAGAACAAATGATCTTCTCTATTTGATTACTCTACTGAGAGCACTCATTGGGGAGCATTTTCATGGGATACACATAATCCTTACACTCTGTGCCTATTTCAGCCCCTACAGGACCTCCGACCTTCTTACCAATGTTCCAATCTGCCAAGGTCCAGTCTCCTAGAAATGACTTCCATTTGATAATGGACTGTAGCTGCGTATAGCTAAGCTTTTAGTTTGTTGGATCAGATAACATTAAGTTCATGGTGGGTAGGAAAGGTCATAACTCAAATTTAGAATCCCATGTGTCCAGCGTTCATCAGCTACCTGAGCTATGCAAAATGTTCCATACAGTGTATTTTCCACGTGAATCTGCTAAGGGTCACAGAAGCTTCCTCTGCAGATTCTACCGTATAGAGAGCCTTCTCTCGCCCTGGGCATCACTCAAAATTGTCAGGGTTAGCAATTTCTCGATAAATAGGTCAGAGCAGTGCACTCAAATACAATATATGTTTCCTCCAATATCCAAACAGTCCCACTGAGCTTGATGCCCCTGGTTTGGTGGTAAGTGGTGCAATGAGCAGGAACTTGTTTAGAGCAGATACACCCTGCATGCTTCTCAGAAACATCAGTGGTGTGGCAAGCCACTGAACTTTGATGGGGTTTTTCTTCCACCTTCTGGTATACATTTGTATTAGCATGACATCTGGGATTCTTGCTCTTTTCTGCTCAAAATATTCAGCATGATGCTAACAATGATATCCTGTGAGCTGCCCAGGTGACCAAGGACACTGTGGATTATGTTATGACAATGCAGGAGAATTCACATAGCTCTAAGGTTTATCGATGTCTCTGCCAGGTAAAAGCAAGCTGCTTTTGATAATCCATATAACTGATATAAGGAAAAACATCTGTCAGCTACAGACCAAATACCAGGGACCATGTTCATTCGCTCCAGGAAAAAGATGCAACACCTGGAAAAGTAGCTGTAATTGGAGTCACCACTTAATTAACTTTATAATGATCCACAGGCATTCTCCAAATTCATCTGGCTTTTATACTGGCCAAACAAGCAAGTTAAACAAGGATGTGATAAGGATGAACAGCCTGTAATGTTCAAGTCCTTAATCATTGCACTAATCTTTACAGACTCCACCTGATTTATTATTTAGTAGGAGAGCCTTTTACGTTGGCTTCCGTTTGACCCTGCTCACCACAGTAGCCCTTACACCATGGGTCAGAGACTGATGTAAATATTCTACCAGTTGCTAAATACCAGTATTTTAACCGTGAATTTGATAGGGACACACAATTAGATTTTGAGCCTTATCCTCAGCTCATGATCCATATCCTCATGATGACCACTTACATGCACACATGCGCACACACAAAATGACACCTAAGAGTGATCTTATTCTATGCCCATGCCTTGAACTGAGAGCTTAAATTTCTAGACGTATTATTTTATTTCTCTAAGCTCTCATCCCACAGACCTTGTCCTCATTATAACCATGAGGGCTAGTACAGCAGCTACATAATGTCTTCCCTTTTTTTTTTTTTTTTTTTTGCGGTACGTGGGCCTCTCACTGTTGTGGCCTCTCCCGTTGCGGAGCACAGGCTCTGGACGCACAGGCTCAGCGGCCATGGCTCGCGGGCCCAGCTGCTCCGCGGCATGTGGGATCTTTCCGGACCGGGGCACGAAGCCGTGTCCCCTGCATCGGCAGGCGGACTCTCAAGCACTGCACCACCAGGGAAGCCCGTCTTCCCTTTGATTGACACTTCCTACCAAGCAATAATAGGTTATAATTTAAATAATTGTGATGCCACTATATACCACAGATTTCTAGTAACCCACAAGTAGAACAGGGTTTTGATAGGGACAGAGTAAAGGGACAAAGTAGATAATTAAATACTTAATCCCACTAGGGGATTGTAAGTAAAGAAAAAGTATGGGAGAACCATGTAAGTTAATGATCACTCCAGAAAGCACGTTTGCTTAACCACAAAACCAAGCAGGCTTGCTTAGCAACAAAACCATGCAAGAGAAGCATGAGACATGCCCCAAAACAATAAAACAATGGTGGCATGAGACCCACATCTTGCCCAGTGAGCTCAGTAAGTTAATGACCCATAGGACATGCTCTCTGCACACATAAAAAACAATAATTTGTGGAAAGGTGACATTTCAAAGTGAAAGACCCTCATTGTACTGAGACGTGAAATAATTTTTCCATAGTGCCATGACAGTCCTAGCTTGACTGCGCAGGGACAAGAAAACGCCCCTGCCCAACCTGGAGAAGGAGCTGGTGATGGAAGTGTGATATCTACTCAAGAATGAGGAAGGAAGTGGTCTTTTCTCCCTCCCCCCTTTTCCTTTGACTATAAAACTATAGCCCACTAAGTTCTCGGGGCATGGCACCCTCTCACCTGCCCGATTGTAAGCCTCACATGTGTCCTATTCTAATAAAATGCTTCTTATCTATCACTTTGCCTCTCACTGAATTCTTTCTGCACTGAGACATAAAGAACCAGGGCTCCTTGGAGCCCCCTGAAATGCCACCTAGTGGTTTCAGTTTCATGGTAGTCAAATAGGTGAGCAACCCAATATCAGAATCCCATTTTGAGAGACAATTGCTTAGGGTCTTTGGCGGATAGTTTGCAAAATTGACATTATTACCCCCTCTCTGTATCCGTGGCCTTTCTGCATTGCCCTAGCTAATGTAGTGAACAGCCAGATACGTGAATATAGACCAGCAATCCCCAAACTAACCGACCAGAGTATTGTAGATACACGAGTGCTTTCCCAGCTGAGATCAGCTGAACCTGGCCCAGATCAGCAAAAATGATGCATGGCCTCATGAGCAAAAATCAAGCATTGTTGCTTTAAGCCATTAAGGTTTGGGGTGGGTTTTTATACAGCAAAAGCTATTTGACACCAGAGTACCCCAAGTATATACTAGGAACTATATCAATCAGGGTCTAGTCAGAAAAATCTGGGTTTTTAAAACAAGGGATTTTAATTCAAGAATTGGTTACACAGGTGAAGGAATTGCTAGGGAGCTCAGTGGGACAGTGAGGTGACTGAGAAGCTGTGACCAACCCAAGAACCAGAAGGAGGTGGTCTTACTAAAGGCCCAAAATCAGGGCCATCAGGAGAGTTGGAACCCCTTACAACTATGAAGGGCACAGCTATCTGATGGAAGGTGGAATCACAAAGGAGATTTTAACTCCAGCTTTGTGATTTTTCTTTAAGCCTTTAAAGTGCCTTTAGATACAGCCATTTAACCTGCCAGTTGGTCCTCGATCTCTTTATGTCCTTCGTTTCATTATGTGTTAATATATGTACGTAGCGTAGTGCCTGGCCCATAAGTCAGTGTTACACCAGTCATCATCATCATCACATTTTTATGGCAGGAACTGTTGTTCCCCAAGGCCTTTGTCACCAATGAGCACCTCATTCATGGGAGTCCAGGGATAATTTAATTAGCTGTTTAATGCCATATTTCATAGCCTGCCACATACCTCTCTCTGAACACTAATGTGATTTCTCAGTTGCCTTTAAGCCCCAAGCAAGGCCTAATAACCAATTCTAGAGTCCCCCAGTTTCCCCAAGTTTATGTTGCCTACAACCCCTCTTTCTTGTACCAGTACCCGAATTTGTCAGGACATTGAAAATGATTCTGATTCATCTAAACAGAGAAAAAAATTATGGAATGGCATGTTGGGTAGGAAAGTTGAACCCTCAAATCTTAGTGACCTTAACACACACAAAAAACCTTCCTTATTCACCATACATTACCAGTGAGGGTTGGAGCCAAGCAATCTGCTCCATATTGTCACTTGGGGACCCAGAATGGTAGTGGGTCTACTATTTGTGATATTGCTAGTCACAATGTCAGTGGAAGAGAGACTTTTCAGTGCCTCAGCCTGGACTTATCGCATGCCCCTGCCAAGTGCAAAAGGGCTAAGAAGTGCTATATGCCATCTGCCTGGGAAGGAAGAGGGAACTAGATCGTAGTGAGTAATAGCAATGTTTACTACAGAACGGTAGGAAGCAGTTCACAGTACTTAGCAATCAGCAGCTGAAGAAGTATAAAGGGACTTAGGAAGGAAATGCACAGATAAGATTATGCCATAGATATAAATCTCTTTGAGCACCAACCCTGACTGCATCACTTATTATCTCCCTGCTGACCTCCAAACCCTTGGAAACATCTGCCATAATGTTAGTCCTTGACTGTATTACAAATAATCTCAAAATGAATTCCCTTAAGTCTCAAAGTTCCAGGTAGCAGAATCTGATTAGCATGTGAGGCAGTCTAGATCATGTGCCCATGTTTTAGCTGCAACTGGCAGGGAAAGGAAATTTCTGCCTATTTCAGTTTCCATACTGGACAGAAGGATGCTTTTGTTTCTTGAATTTAGGATTCCCTCTAAATGAAGGGTGTTCAGGTTTTGGGCAGCCAAAATATAAAAATGTGCATTGTATAGTTTGAATGTTTTGCATATTTAAGGATATTATACAAGTAGAATCACACAATATATGTTCTTTTCTGTCTGGCTTCTTCCACGGTATAACTATTTTGAGGTCCATTCATGTTGTTGCATACATCAATACTTTGTTCTTTTTTTTATTGCTGAATACTATTCCATTCTATGGACATTCCATGCCACAGTTTGTTTATACATTCACTTGTTGTTGAACATTTGGGGTGTTTCCACCTTTTGGCTACTACCAAGAAAGCTACTGTGAACAGTCATGAACAGGTCTTTACATGGCCATATGCCTCTGTTTCTCTTGGGTAAATATCTAGGAGAGGAACTGCCAGATTGAATGGTAAGTGCTTGTTTAAATTACTAAGGAACTGCCAGACTCTTCCAGAGTAGTACCATTTTACTTTCCCCCCAACAGCGTATGAGAGTTCCAGTTCTTGGAACCTCACCAACACTAGGGGTGATCAGTTTTCTTAAATTCTAGCCATTCTAATAGGTATGTGGTGGTAAATACTGTGATTTTAATTTGCATTTGCCTAAAGACTAATGACGATAAAGACTAACATGTTTTTTTCATATACTTATTTGCCTTCTGTGTGTGTTTTGTTTTATTTTGTGGTGAAATGTCTGGTCAAATATTTTGCCCATTTTTAATTGTATTTCTCCCAATCTCCAGTTTCCTTTTCATTGTCTTAACTGTTTTTTCTCCTATATATTTTATTGTTTTAAATTTTACATTTAGGTCAGTAATCCATTTTGAGTTAATTTTTCTTGTATGGTGCAAAGTGCTGATCAAAGTTCTTCTCTCTTTTTTTTTTTTTTCTTTTGGGATATGGATATCCAATTGTTTTAGAGCCATTTTTTTAAAAAAGACTATCCTTTCTCCAATGAATTGCTTTTTCCTATTTGTCAAAATCACTTGTACATATAGGTGTAGATCTATTTCTGGACTCTTGATCCTGTCCCATTAATCTTTTTGTCTATCTTAAAACCATATGGTCTTAATTACCTTTAAATCTAAAATTATGTCTAAATAAAAAAAATTATTTAAAAATATAAAAATTCAGGGCTTCCCCGGTGGCGCAGTGGTTGGGAGTCCGCCTGCCGATGCAGGGGACGCGGGTTCGTGCCCCGGTCCGAGAAGATCCCACATGCCGCGGAGCGGCTGGGTCCGTGAGCCATGGCTGCTGAGCCTGTGCGTCCGGAGCCTATGCTCCACAGTACCACAAAAATAAATAAATAAATAATAAAAATATAAAAATTCAGAGACCTAATAGAAAATGAACAAAGGTATGGACAGTTTACAGAGAAGGAATTACAATGGCTTTTAAACATGCAAAAAGATGCTCAACATCAACCATAATAAAATAAATGCAAATTAAAACTCCACTGAGATACAATTCCCACATTTCAGACTGTCAAATACTAAAAATTATAACAACACACTATATTGATGAGGGTGCAAGGAACTGATTACTTTTATCCACTGATGGTACAAAGTTAAACTGGAACAATCTCTATGAAAAACAATTCAGTAACATTTATTTAAATTTTAAATGGGTTTAACTTTTGACCCAACAATTCCATTTCTAGGAATTTATCCTGCAGTATAGTTCAACATGTGCTCATAGAGCATGTTCAAGTATTTTCACTGTGGCATTTCTTAGAATAGCAAAGACAATAAATAACAAAAATCTCTAGCAATAGAAAACTGGTAAAATAAATTATGATATAGTCATATAACAAAATACAGTTTACCAGAAAAAGAATGAGTCAGATGTATGAGATGTACTGGTATGATCTTCAAAATATACTGATGAGTGATAGTTTGAAAGTACTGAAGAGTGTTTTTAGTATGCTCACATTTGTGTGAAAAGGGGAACTGTATACTTAAAAATGTACATATGCTTTCAGGGCACAGAATAGTTATGGAATAAAACCCAAGAAACTATGAATAGTGGCTGCCACTGGGGATGGGATAATAGGAAAAATCAGATGCTGAGGTAGAAGAAGAGTTAGTGTACATTATATAACTTTTTTTTCTGTTAGAATGTGTCTTTCTCTTTCAATAAGAAAAACTATAAAGAAGGCAAAATAAAGGTGCATGCTTATCTCAAACGAAGAGTGAATATCTCAGAAAGTGTGACATGATTTGATCGTTTTCTTCTTTGTGCTCTTTTGCACTTGAAAAATTTTATAACATGAAAACGTGTTACTTCCATAATCAGAAAAATAAGTACTTTTAAGATATTCTTAGAAAGCATAAGAAAAAATTAGCTTTACCTGAGATAATTAGACAATGCCTAAAAGAAGATGCTGCACTTGTTCTGTCATTCATATACACACACCACTCAAAATCTACTTCCATAAGCAAAAGTCATCGAAAAAAATGTAAGGAAGTACAACAAAGGAAAGTAAAAGCAAACCATTCTTTAAGTCCTTTAGTTTTTCAAATAAGACAAAGTTGTACCATCTGGTAGCCTGAGAAAAACTTCCCACCAAATGTATCATTATGACAGTATCGTTATGACTTTCTTATGTTCCCATCATCTAAAAGAGTGGCGACATCACCATTAGTATAAGACTCAAACACCAGGAAAGTATTAAACAATATCTGATTCTTTTTACAGAGACCCCAAAATATAATGCTTGGGAAACATCCTAGGACTTTATATCACCAAAACTAAAGGTAAGGCTCTTAGGAAGGAGCTGTGTGAAAGTTTGGATGATCTGGCAAAATCACAGATAAGGATCATCCCCAAACCTCGGCCTTAAAAATATATTGTACAAAATAGGCGACACATCAACATACTCCTGACCTTTAAAAATAATGTCATTGAGGGCAGATTGTCAGAAAATAATTTGGCTAAGTGGAATCTTACCACATACATAGGGCATTTCTAGTGGTCTTGAATTTAAAAGGTGGTCATTTCGCATTGCAAGGACACTAAAATTGTGTCCAGTTAAAGCCTTCCCAGTGTGGTATTGTCTATAGAATAACTGTAAGATAGAAATATAATGCAAGCCACGTTTGTAACTTTAAATATTCCAGGAGCTACACTGCGAAAATGTAAAAGAAATACGAAATTCATTTTAATAATATATTTAATTTAACCCACTATATCCAAAATTTCATTTCAACATGTATTGAATATAAACAATTATTAATGAGATATCTCACATTATTTTTTTCATAGTGAGTCTTCAAAGTCCACTGTTGGACTAGCAACATTTCAAGTATTCACTAGTCACTTGTTGCTAGTGGCCACCATATTGGAAGGTACAGATCTAAAACATCTTGGTCATTAAGTGAGGGCTCAAAAAGTAAATATCAGAGACGTCCATTTTACTCCAACATATAATCTAAAAGCAGGACCTGTTTTTGGATGATGCCTACTGAAAACCAGTTTATGCTTGTAAATGAAAATCCTGCCTAATGCCTTCAACACAAGCTTGGTCATTGGCTGAAGCCAAATATTCCATTTTAGAGCTTAATGCCTTTAATTTATATTTTAATCACTGTTTACTAGGATATACCTTTGAAAGAGCTCATATATTTTTAGGTTTCTGGTCCTATAGACTTTGAATAAATTATCAGTCTTAATATCTTTGTGAGGAAAATACATAGATAGATAGGGATACATAAATCAACTTTGGGGGCAGAATATATCCTAATGCATAATGATGTCTCCCTTAGTACTCCATTTTATTGTCACAGAAGCCCAAGTGAAATAGAATGAGTTTTATTGAATTTCTTTTACACAAACAGGGTGGAAATTTGATAAAGGAATACAAAAAGAATATCACAGACACTTTGCACCTAATCTAAAATGGATCCCTCCTAAAGGGCCCACCCTGAGGGAGATTTCTGCAGCACTTCAAACAGAATAGGTGGTTCTCCTGACTCAAGTCTGCCTTCTTCCTAAGGCTGAGCATTCTGGAATCAGACACTTGGATTGATGGCCAAGCTTCCACAAATTAGTCTGTTATTAGAAGGTGGCAAGAAGGTTGTTTTCTACTTCCCCCCAAAACTTTTTATCCTCTTTTTTTCTAGGAGGGAATGAATACCAAATGGAGAAAGCTGTTATTGATGGCATTTGCTTTATCCTTGATGTGATGAAGCATCATTTTCGGTAAATACAAAAGACTGATGAGTTATCTTTAATGATTGGCAGAGTTGATCTAAAATGCTAAGTGTTGCCCCAAAATATTAATAAATATTCCCTAAATTAATCAGAAATTAATTCCCCTTTGGGGAACAAATCGAATCATAAATATATTAATTCTTTCATTTTTCAACATTCAACAAATATTTATTGAGCACCTTCTTGGTGCCCTATTCTAAGTGCTGGGAAAACAGGAATAACACAAAGTGACTGCTCTTATGAAGCTTTACATTCTAGGTGGAGAAGATGGACAATATGCAAAGAAATATTCAATATAATGTCAGGAGCATTGTATTTTATGTAATAATACTATGAAGAAAGAAATTAGACAAGATAAGAGGATATAGAGCGTTGGGGGCTATTTCAGATACATTTTAAACTACATCAAAGTTCCATCTAATAGGAATAAGATTCAAAGTAACCTGCTACAGAAACACAACTATACTGGGAAACAAATTTTTTAACCTGCTAAAATTCTCTCATAGAAAAACTCAAAGTCTTCCCACCTCCATGCCTTCCTTTTTTATCTTTTTAAAATAAGCAATGCAATGCTACTGCTGCTATTTGAAAGTCAGCTATTTGTGGGAGCTAATGTCTTTTAAAATTAACCCTATTGCTTTGGTATCATGTTCTCCATGTTATTTGCCCTCCTGACGTGTTGCGCCTTAATAGAAAGGACTTGTGGTCACTTGTAACAGTATCAATATCATCTTTTTGAAGATAATGTGCTATCTTAGTCGAAAAAGAAATAATAGATCGTAAGCTCATTGCAGGCCTGGATTCCAGAACTGGAATGTCACATCAGAACTAGATGCCACGTAGTCCAGAACAGGAGTATTGTGCCCGGCACATAGTAGTTTTGTAGTAATTATCTGGCTAACAAGTGAGTGAATGAATGGATCTGAATTCTAGATTTTTTTGTTATTCAATTGCAATAGGCATTTGTTCAAATTTAACACTAAAATGCCTTTTTTTCTTGTATCTAAAGAATAAAGAAGAACCTAGAGGAGATCAATCTCTGCTGGTAAGAATCTTTGTTCTGTAAGTACTTTACAAACTGTATTGAGGGCAAACTGGCTGGAGTCAGGTGGATTCTAATGGCAATGGCAGTCAGAAAGAACAGAAAACTAGACTGAATTTCCTAGAGGCAACCACTGACAAATTTCTTGGGTTATCAGTTCAGACACAAAGTGACTGCTCACTTTGAGTTTATATGGACATCTCCCAATTTTGCTCACTTGACATACTCATTTGCTTATACCAGACAAGTTTTTGACATTTTCTATAGTTTAAGTATCTCTGTCCAGTTTGATATTTTTCTTTAGATTGATAGCCTTCCTTAGTCAACCATGTTTTCTACCACTGACCATTGTGTAGAACCCAAGAATTAGTGAAACCAACCTTAAAAAAAACTTTTTTTTAAGTTCTCCATTTGTCATTGTATATATATATATATATATATATATATATATTTTTTTTTTTTTTCCGTACGCGGGACTCTCACTGTTGTGGCCTCTCCTGTTGCGGAGCACAGGCTCCGGACGCGCAGGCTCAGCGGCCATGGCTCACGGGCCTAGCCGCTCCGCGGCATGTGGGATCTTCCCAGACCGGGGCACAAACCCATCAGCAGGCTCTCAACCACTGCGCCACCAGGGAAGCCCTGTCATTGTATATTTTTAATAAAGTTGGGTGATTTGGATTTTGAAAGAGCACAAATATTGAGCAATCCTATAATGAAATGTCTTTGGCTAAAAACATCTATGAAATGTCAAAAAGGATACACTTTTAAAGGTTTTACGTTTAATATTTGATTTTGAAATAATTATAGATTCACAGGAAGTTGCAAAGGTAGTACAAAGAAGTCACATGTACCTTTCACCAAATTTCCCTCAGTGTTACATCTTTCATAATGGTAATCTAATAACAGGAAATCAATGTTGGGACAATGTATGTGTATAATTATTTGACATTTTATCACACGTGTAGATTCCTGTAACCACCACAGCAATCAAGATACAAAACTATTCCATCACCATAAAGATCTCCTCTGAGCTACCATTTGTAGACCCACCCAGTTCCTCTCCCTGACTCTCCCTAAACCCTAGGACCACTAATCTATTTTTATCTCTATAATTTTGTCTCTTTGAGAATGTTTTATGAATGGAATCATATAGTATATGACCTATTGAGATGAGACTTTTTCACTCAGCATAATGCCTTGAGATTCAGCCAGGTTGTTTTTTATATTAGTGGGTCATTCCTTTTTCATGCTGTGTAGTATTCCACGAAGGGATGTACCAAAGTTTGTTTAAGCATTCACCTATTGAGGGACATTTTGATTGATAGTTCTTACTGCACGTGAAAAATACTGTTCTACTTCCTTTTGGGTCCAGGGTTTCGAAGAAGAAATCCACTTTCATTCAAATTATTTTCCCCTTATAGGTGAATCATTTCTGACTGCTTTTAAGATTTTTTCATCTTCAGTTTTCAGAAATTTGACTATTATGTGCCTTGGCATGTATTTCTTTAGGTTTATCCTGTTTGGGATTCACTCAGCTTCTTGAATCTGTATGTTTGTTTCCTTTGCCAAATGTTAGAAAGTGTTCATCCATTTAAAAAATAATTTTCAGCCCCAGCTCTTTCTTCCCTCTGGGACTCCAATTAAATGAATATTATTTTTTTTGTTATAGTCTCACTTGTCTCTGAGATGCTGTTCTTTTTTTTTTTTTTTTTCATTTTTTTCTCTCTGTTGTTCAGCTTGAGTCATTTCTATTATTCTGTCTTCAAGTTCACTGACTCTTTCCTCCATCCTCTTCATTCTACTGTTAAGCCTATCCATTGAGTTTTTATTTCAGGAATTGTATTTTTAAGTTCTAAAATTTATTTGGTTTTTTATATCTTCTATATCTTTGATTTTCTATATCTTTGACTTTCAAATTCTTTGCTGTGACTTTCAACTTCTTTGCTGTGACTTTCTATTTCTTCATGTTTCAAGTATTTGTAATTGCCCACTGAGGGCTTTTTTTACAATGGCTGCTCTACAATCCTTGTCAGATAAAACTAATATCTGTGTTATCAAGGCATCTGCATATTGTCCTTTCTCACTCAAGTTGAGGTCTTCCTGATTCTTGGAATGATGAGTGATTAGTTATTGAAACCTGGATATTTTGGGTATTATGAGACTCTGGATCTTATTTAAATCTTGCGTTTTCACAGGCATCCTCTGATACTGCTCCAGCTGGAAAATGGGTTGGCACCTCCCTACTACTGTCAGTTGAGAGGTGAAATTTCAGGTTCTCAACTCTGCCTCTATTGGAACTTAGTGGGGAGGGGCTCCTTGTTACCAATGAGGGGGGATGAGAGTTTAGGCTCCCCACATGGTCTCCACTGACACTGACCACAGAGAGATGGCCACAGATGCTGAGCAGTGGTGAAGGTTCTAACCCCCACTGACCTCCTCCAACTCCACACCAGTGAGGAGGGTCGGGGGGGCCTCATTACAGGCTGGTGAGGGTGGAAGTTTCAGTTCTCCACTTGGTCTTTGCTGGAGGCATGGATATGGGGTCACAGTTTTTCTGTGGTATTGGGCTGGAGTAGAGTGAGTAGTGCCTAAAAGTTTTCTGCCTTGCTAGGCTGCCCTTTTCCTAGTCCTTTAGTTGTAAAGAGCAGGTTTTTCTCAGGGTTCTTTTTGTGTCTATATCCATTGGCATTTCATCTGGGATACATGTGGCAGAAAACCCAAGGAACTCACTGCCATGTCAATCCATGAGTTCTGAGGTGCCTACCTGAACTGGCTTCTTTGCTTTCAGAGTGTTCTTTTGTTTGCTCTCTATATAATGTCCAGGGATTGTAGCTATATTTAGGGGTAGGAATAGGAAAAATTAGGACTATTCCATTTTTCTGGAAGCACAAGTCACTTAAAAGTTATTCTTATTTTACAAAAATCCTCAGTGTATGAAAGGGAAGTTCTCTCATAACCTTGTCAATTATGTAATTAACTTAAAAGTACAACAAAACCTTAGGTGCATCCTATCTTTAAGTGGAAATCAAAGGTGAACATCTGGACCCCTACTCCAACCCCTTTATTTCAATATATAAGAGTATTTATCACATAATAAGCTACTAATGTTTGATAAATTAAATCTGTATTTTCTATGAATATACATTATTTTCTGGCTCTGTTAATTTTTAAAATATATCACCCCCCGCAAAAGAAACCATACTGTCCCTTGCCTTCCTGCCCTTGATCATAACCTCTTCACCCTAACGTAGCCCTTATTGTTCCAGACTCAGTTTCTATTTCTTCTCCAAGTGGTTTCCCTTAACCCCAAATTTAGGTTGGATGCCCCATTTATATGCTCTGTTTTCCCTATTAGCACTTATCACTCTGTACTGTAATTATCTATTTAATATCATCTTTCCTGCTCATCTATCAGCTTCCTGAGGACAGGAGACTATCTGAATGTTCATAGTTATAGAACCAGCACCAAACAGTGCCTGTCATATTATAGGGGTGCAACATATATTTGTTGAATGAGCAGATTACTCTTAACATGATTTTCATTTTGTACCCAGGGATCAAGAAGCAGGAGAACCTCAGCTCTCAGACTGGTTTAATCCCAAGTAAGAACCAAAAATTCTGCTCATGAAGTAATAATAATAATAATATAACTCTATTTGAATGGGGAAGTTTTTTTTCATCATCAAATTTTAGCTAACCTGGGAGGTTTCCAGGACTTGGAATTTTTACTTTTAAGGCTTTTATATACAATCCTAGGACCTATTTATCAAGAATTAGGCAATTAAGGGTCATAATGAGAAAGATGTTTTCTGGTTTAACATTCCTGGTTTTATTAGGAGAAAGAAAAAACCTCTTTAGTAACAGCCTGAAAAATGTCATTAATGACTCCTCTTGATTTTGGCATTAACATTCGGGGGAGAATTTCATTCTTTATAATGGCTGTATACCATAATTTAAGTATTAGCCATTCACTGTTGGTTTTGTATTGTTTGCAGTTTGGGGGCTATTGTAAGTAATATTTCAACAAATAGCCTTACACATATGTTTTGTAAACTGCTGTGTGAATTTATCTGTAATATAAATTCCCATTATGGCATCATTGGTTTAAGAGGTTGTGAACATTTTAAATATTGCTTCAGGCTGCTAAATTGCCCTTTAACAATTATACTATTTATTTTCTAATCTACAGAGGATAAATGTTAATAATTTTTATTTTATATATCTACATTTTATTCTAGTAGTATCAAACATTTTATTACTTGAAAAACTTAGTTGAAATATCTCAATTCAATCTGTATTTCTGTAATTATTATTGAATTTGAGCATCCTCTATGTTTACTATTTATTTGTATTTCATCTTATCGGAATTCTTTTTTATATTTATATTTTTAATGGACTGCCGGTGCAGAGAATTAGAGGAATAATAATCCTTGCTTCATGACTTACTCTCATCATTATTTCATGCAAAATCCACTTATTTTATTTATTTGTGTGCTTTCTTGCTTATTTTTAATGAAGCAAAAATTACAACCTTCTATAACGTCAACGTCTAGCTTTGTGTCCTTTTCAATTCCCCCACTCTGTTTCCTTGCCCTAGTCCCTGAAATAACCACAGTCCTGAATCCTGGTTCATCATCCCCTTGCTTTCTTTTTTATTTTTATTTATTTATTTATTATTTTTTTAAACATCTGTATTGGAGTATAATTGCTCTACAATGATGTGTTAATTTCTGCTTTATAACAAAGTAAATCAGCTATACATATACATACATCCCCGTATCTCCTCCCTCTTGCATCTCCCTCCCTCCCACCCTCCCTATCCCACCCCTCTAGGTGGTCACAAAGCACCGAGCTGATCTCCCTGTGTTCTGCGGCTGCTTCCCACTAGCTATCTATTTTACATTTTTTTTAACATCTTTATTGGGGTATAATTGCTTTACAATGGTGTGTTAGTTTCTGCTTTCTAACAAAGTGAATCAGTTATACATATACATATGTTCCCATATCTCTTCCCTCTTGCGTCTCCCTCCCTCCCACCCTCCCTATCCCACCCCTCCAGGCGGTCACAAAGCACCGAGCCGATAACCCTGTGCATTTGGTAGCGTATATATATCCATGCCACTCTCTCACTTTGTCCCAGCTTACCCTTCCCCCTCCCCGTGTCCTCAAGTCCATTCTCTAGTAGGTCTGCATCTTTATTCCCATCCTGCCTCTAGGTTCTTCATGACCATTTTTTTTTTTTTAGATTCCATATATATGTGTTAGCATACGGTATTTTTTAAAGTATAAACTTATATCCTCCATGTGTATTCTGGAAAAGTCTATTTTAAAATTTTAGTTGTTTATATCAGTAACTTTATAAAGAGGATATCATGATGTATGTAATCTTCAGGGATTTATTTTTTCCCTTAATGTTAGATTGCTAAAATTCATCTCCAAATTGCGTATCACTGACATTCTTTTTTTTTGTTTTTTTTTTGTTTTTTTTTTTTGCTGTACGCGGGCCTCTCATGTTGTGGCCTCTCCCGCCGCGGAGCACAGGCTCCCGACGCGCAGGCTCAGCGGCCATGGCTCACGGGCCCAGCCGCTCCGCGGCATGTGGGATCTTCCCGGACCGGGGCACGAACCCGTGTCCCCTGCATCGGCAGGCGGACCCTCAACCACTGCGCCACCAGGGAAGCCCTGACATTCATTTTGATGGCTGCATAATTGACTGTGGAAATATACCACAGTTTGTTCATCTACTGCTTCATTAAAGGGCACTTGAACTGTTTCTAGGTTTTTGCTGCTACTAACATTAAGAACTAATGCTCTTTTAAGATGCCTTTCCAGAGAGTTCAAAGAGTTTAAAAGGTGAAAAAAAATTATAGATAAAATAGCTGCCCAACATCTTCAACATTTGTCTTCCTCATTCCACTCCAATCGTACTGGCTTCCTTGATATTCCTCAGATACACCAAGCATGCTCTCACCTTAGGGCCTTTGCACCTTCTGTTTTCCTGCATGAACCATGCATCTTCTGTATAGTCAAATGGCTCATTCTCTCACTTCCATCAAGACTCCACACAAATGTTATTTTATCAGTGAAGCCTTCTCCAACCACCCATAAAAAATGGCCCCTCCCATTCCCTTTTTCCCTCACCCAGTTTTATTTTTCTCCATTGCATTCATCAACATCTGGTATACTACTTATTTGCTTGTTTATTCATTTATTATCTGCCTCTCCCAATAGAAAGTGCCTAGAAAAGAATCCTAGACATAGCAGAGGCTCAATATTTGTGGATTAAATAAATACATGAAACCTTTTGACTAATCGAAATGTCAGCATTTTCATAACATACCATTACATAATAGTGGTAGAAGGCATTCTTTCATTAGAGGGCTTGTGCTTTACTATTAAGCATCATGGATTTTAGTTTAAAATGAAATGACCAGGAATTCCCTGGCAGTCAGTGGTTAAGACTCAGCACTTTCACTGCCATGGGCCGGGGTTCAATCCCTGGTCGGAGAACTAAGATCCCACAAGCTATGCAGTGCAGCCAAAAAAAAAAAAAAAAAAAAACTTAAAAAAAAAAAGTAATTGATTAACATCTATTAAAAATGAACATACATAAAAGGAATCCTACTTCTAGGACTAGCTGATAAATATAACAGCAACAGTACACAAAGACATAAGATTAAGAAAGTTTATTGTATCATTTTTCATAGTGAGAAAAATTTCAAAAATAAAATGAATACCTATTCGTGAGGAAGTGGCTAAACTCCACACTGTGGAATATTATGCAGCCATTTTAAAAAATGAATAAGAGGGCTTCCCTGGTGGCGCAGTCGTTGAGAGTCTGCCTGCCGATGCAGGAGACACAGGTTCGCGCCCCGGTCCGGGAAGATCCCACATGCCGCAGAGCGGCTGGGCCCGTGAGCCATGGCTGCTGAGCCTGCGCGTCCGAAGCCTGTGCTCCGCAACGGGAGAGGCCACAACAGTGAGAGGCCCGTGTACCGCAAAAAAAAAAGAATTAGTCCAGATAACCTGGAAGGATTTTCACAAGGTTGTATTGAGTAAGAAAAACAAGATGCATAAAGGTGTGCATTATTTCATTATTGTAAAACAAACAAGATTTTAAAAGCCTGGATACATATATCTATGTATATGTGTATATTATACACATATTATCTATAGAATTAAGTGAATAGGGAGGGAAAAAGAAAAGAACACAAACTAGGCTGCTAATATGGTGATCCAGCCAGGAGATGGAGAAATTGTATACTGATAGAGCAGGAGTAGAGGTGGAAATTCTCTAGTACTATTCTATCATGATTCTATCCATTCATAGTAAATTTATTTCCAATATATCACTTCTGATTCTTACTCCTTTTAGACTTATACTTAGTTTCCTAGAACTAGATATAGGTCAATATAGCCTTGACTTATACAAAGGGTCCCCACCTTCTCTCTCCAGATACACTTTTTGAACAAATTATTCCCTCCCATATTATTATCATGATTCACATCTCATCAAATTTTAGTGACACATTCTAGCATCAAAATCATTTTAATACCTATTCTCTCTTTTCTAAGAATGTAAATATCTTAGGCCACATATATTATTTCCCTCCCTCATCATTGTGCTTCTTTCTATGTCACACCTATGATAGTCTATAGTACCATGAGACCAGAATTTTATCTGTGTATCTTCTTTCTGGAAATTTTCGTTGTAAACAATATACTTCATGAGCAGGTCACCTTGTGTCCTGCTGAATACTCAGGCCTCATGAGGTGTTGTCTAAGCTTCTCAGATACTGAATATATCACGGTATGAAAGAAGCAACTCAAGTGACATGAAGAAACTTTAATGAAGAGATTGTTAGCAGAGATTTGGGACCCAGCAAAGGAAATGGAGGCACACAGGGGCTTGCAAGAGCAGGAAGCTGTGACCACCCTAAGCCTAAAGGGACAAGGGAAGGAATGATGCTCCTGGAGACCAGGGATTCCTGAAACCATGAAAGAGTCAACCAATAGAAGTTGCAGCTGTATATGGATACAGCCACTGTCAAGATCTCAACAAAGCTGGAAGAAAGAGAGGAGAATAGGTAACCTCTCTTCCTGCCTGCTGATCTTGTGTTGGGGCCTCCCATTAGAAGAACCGGTTGGAAGCCACAGAGCAGGGGACTGGATGACCAGTCTGCTTCCAGGACATAACACCAGGCAGAGAAGGTCTAAGAATAAATAAGGAGAAGGTAAATAACTAGCACAATCCCCCCTTTTGCCTCTTAGCATCAATTCTCAACCTTCACTTAGATGAAGAAGCTCATGTTCCCCAAACAGGAGAAACACAGTCCCATCAGCTACAAGGTGTTGTCAAGAGATGAGGTAATGGCAATTCAGCCATATTCCCACCTGGAACCTAAAATGTAACAGCCATCTCCAGTGGTCTTCTTATAAAGTGGCAGAGAAAGGGGAAAAATATAATTAACAAAATAAATCATGGCTACAATCCCACCTCTGTAACTGTTCAGGATGTTGGTAATCTATGGTATCCTTATCCTCTGCCAACCCCCGGGTCAGCCAGAGTTCTTATCTGTTAGGGTGACCCAAACCTCCATGCCTGAAGATTCTGAGTCCTTTAGTGGTACCAACTTATTGAGATGCCACAATTTCCTATTGACAATTATTACTAGAAATGGGAGTACTATTGGGCACCCCAGAGAATCTCTTGGGTTCTATATGCAGCCCTCCTTGCCATCATTGTGTAACTACATCTTAATATCCTCTCGGTGATGAAGATCAGCCACCCCAGCCAGTGAAGTAATGCCATTTTCTGCCTCTTAGCTAAGCATCATGAAGAACCCCAAGTGACCTGCTATCAGGTTCATAGAACCATGACTTATTTCCTAGAGGAAGAACCCCTCCCTTGGGATCTAGGAGATCTAAACTCACTGAACCCATTGATTCAAAACATGAATGGTATACAATAGGATAGTACCTCAAACTTTCAGGGAATTATCTCCAAACTGTCACTGAAATTGAGACTTTCCCTGGCCATTCCACTTTCTACTAGGCCAGCTGCCTCTAGAGAGTGAGGCACATAGTCAGACAAGAGAACTTCATGGAATTGAGCCAAATGTCATTTCACCCTGAGATGTATACCTTAGGCGGAGGCAATGTTATGTGTGATATAATGGCAATGAATAAGGTATCTGCAAGTCAACAAAGCTGACAGATTTGTAGGCTGGGAAAGCAAATCCCTATCCTGAACATGAAACATTTCCTGAGGGAAAGCTGCTGTCCCTTTCATCATGGAGTCTAATATAATCAAGCAGCCATCAGTTGGCTGCTGGTCCCTGAAAAATGGTGTCATATAGTGGGCTCAGAGTTGGCCCCTGCTGTTGGCAGGTTGGGCACTCATCACTGGGAGATATCCATGTCATTGAGCTCATCATCATCTCCACCGGAGTCCAAGTACCTGGCGCCTCTTTGTATACAGACACTAAGCCCACCACAAGGGAGGCTAAGCAAGGCATCTTGCTAACATCCAGAGGGTAGATCATCTTGTCGACCTGACTACTGAAAGCCACCTTTGCAGAGGATATCCTCTGGTCAGATTTACCTCCCAGGCGAAGAGTTTCATACCTAGAGTATAAATCTAATGACTCTAAGTCTCTGCTCTTACTGCTTCCTCTTCTGTTTTATCAAACAATTTCTAAACACAGGTTCTTAATTGCTTTCTGCTTTCAGAGACTCTTTTTCTTTCATTCTGGCAGCAAATCTTTAATCAGATCTAATGAGGAAAGAGATAATCTTCAAACCCTTTCATTGTCTTAAATAGATATTGATTTGCATCTGTAGCATGCCTAATTACTAAGTATCATCACTGTGACAAGGATACATCTGGCCAGTTTTAAGGTAGAGTTTGAGACTTACAGTCAAATAGAAGTGCATGACTATTAATTCTAAGAACAGAGAGGGTTTAAAAATAAATGTATAAAAAAATAAATGTATAAGCTAAAACAGTAAAAGGGTCACTTTAGAAGAATTTGTTATATTATTATTAATATACTATTAAGTGTTGCCAAATCCTACACTTGTCTGGGTCTGGATTTGTGATTAAAACCTGCGATCATTAATAGCAAAATGGCTTCTCACTTTGTATTCAATTCCTTCCAAAATGAAGGTCTTGATTGACTTTAATAGTTTAACGCCCTGCCTCCAGCCAAACTATTTATTATTACGAATACTGCTACTTCTGCTGTCATTTTGTTATTATTAGAAGCAAATCTAATGTCATTCTTCCTTTATGGACTAATCACGTTTTCTTCCAGGTTGTAGTGATGGGCCTAAAGCATTAAGGAGAAGGTGAAAAGAGAATACTCTGGATCTTCTAGGAAAAGAGGAGGGAGAAAGAGGAAAAGAAGAAGTTGCGGGGAGGGAGAAAGGAAGATATAAGGAGACAGTGGTGCTGCCTGCTTTAGGCAACAATCAGAGAAATATTCAGACACCAGGCTATTTCAGTTTAAGCTCCAGTCAGAGCTCAAATAAAAAATCCTTGGGCTCAAAAGGCAGTATGTCATAATGACTAAAGTATAGATTCTGAAGCCCACTGGCTGATCTTGAACCCTGACTCTGCCATTTATTAGCTGTGTGATAGTAAGCAATTTACTCAACCAATCTGTGACCTAAATTTCCTCATATGAAAAACGGGGATAATAATAGTACTTACAGGACATTGCAAGGATTAAATGAGTAATGGAAGGCACTTAATCACCATGCCAGGCACATAGTAAGTATTTGATAATCATTAGCTATTATCACTTAGACAACAACTTTTCCTGTCATAATAAAGTGGTAGCTGCTTAACTTGTTTCTTGTCTGTTCAACAGAAAACGTCCTGATGTAATAACAACAACTGACTGGCTTGCTCCAGTCATATGAGACGGAACTTACAGTAGACAGGTCCTGGAAAAATATTACAAAAGGCTGGACATTACCATAGGCTTGGCTGTAATACGTGCTCCCAGAAAGTAGGTGCTACTAATAGTCATCCTTTTATTTATTTTGGAAAAATGTGGATGAGTACCCATAGACTTTCTACATTCAAAGAGCTATTCATATTTAACTCTAACCATTATATCTGGCTGACTATATAATTATTTTTAGTGATTATTTTCTTCAGCTGTGTCTGAGTCCTTAAACTATTTGGGAATCTTTTCATTAGTATCCAGTTAGCTTTCGCAACAAACTCTATGGCTCTTCTCAGGCTCCCAAGCTCACACTACATTCTCTTTCACTAACCAATACCATTAAGTTCTAGACCCAACTGCTCTACTCTTACATGTCGATAGTTCTTAAGCAACAATGACACGTGTTAGACATCATGTTTAAATGACAGGTAATCTCCTGATGATTTTTAGCAAAACAAGTCTTTTCCGTTGTGTATTAGTTTGTTTGTTTTTCATGTTCCACAGGTCTTCTGCTCGGAACTTGCAAGAGTTCATCCAATCTGCTAATAAGTACCTTTTGGTTGGCTACAATGTTATCTTTTACATCTTGCTGGATAGCTTCTCCAAGCTGCCTCCCATAGTGTTAGGTCCCCTTCGAACATTTAAAGTATTTTTGGTGATCAAAGAGAATATATGGAAAAAAAAAGATAATATATGGGAAGACTTACATTTCATATACATGAAGAACTTACTTGACTACATCATAACACACATCCAGCATGAAGTCAACTTTCTCTTCATTATGACTGCAAACCAGATCTTCAAGGATGACTTTGGAGTGGAAACCCTGGGAAAATCTGTAGCTCAACTTAGTGCATGGTGGTATTTTAAAAATGGTAAAACTTTCCCCTATGAGAGAACGTAAATCTGCAGCTTTCATCCCTTTTGAAGAGGGAGATTTCTATTACCATAGTGCAATTTTTGGTGACACAGTCCAGGAGGTTTTAAACCTCCTTAAAGTATATCAGAAAGGAGCTATTCAAGACACTGAAAATAGACTTACCAGCACATATGAACATCACCTAAACAAATATATTTTTATTAAGAAACCCACTAAATTATTATCACCAGAATACAATTGGGATCCAAGTTTTAGAACTCCTCCACAAATTAAATCTGTTAAGATACCATGGCAGTTAAAAAGTGTTTGATGGTATTATTATTAGATTTATGGATTAACAAGTTCACTACAATAATTCCTCAAATATAAAACTCATTAAAGTTTTCAGTGTTTTAGAAACTTACAAAAATATGCAATCTTCCTAAAGAAATTGTTTTTCTCCTTCCAATTTTGAAATATCTAAATCTACCTATGCTGGATTAAGAATAAATGGTTATTAATTTAATGTTAATGCACAGTGATGTTATTATATATAAAATATAGATATATATTATAAATAATGTAAAAATGCTTTTGAAGGCATAAAATGAATGTTTCATGAAGAAACACATCCAGACTGTAGTTCAAAAAATAATAATAGATGGATAGATAAATAGGTACATAGGTAGACAGAGAGACAGATAGACAGATAGATATACACACAAATAATCAAAGGGATATGTGTAAGGGAAAAATATTCATCAACTCACTCATCAAATATTTACTCAGTTTTTTTAGTGTTGGGATATATATTGCTTGTGATTAATCTCCACAATTAGTATTCATTCTATCTAGTGCCTGATTGAATTTAAGTGAACTAAAGACATTCTATGAAATACGTATCTTACTTTTATTGTTACAAAGATATTGAGTTCATTTTCTTTTTAATGCTACAAGAATTTTATTTTAAAAAATTAGATATCTACTGAATTCCACGGTAGGTATATGAGATGCAGTCAGGGATAGAAAAAATGTTTCAAAAATATATCATGTGCCCTCAAGCAGCCTACAGTCTAGCAAGGGAGATAAAACTAATCATAAATATCTCTTTTACGAGTTTAAAAGTGCCAAAAGCTCATAAGGAAGACACGGCTAAAACGCATGTGGTTCAGGAAAGGGAGCAATCATCTTCATAAGAACCTTTATGTAGTCACATCCACTATGTTTCCGTAAACTAGTGAGGTATTACAGCATAGTTACAAGAGCTAGAGGTTCTAAAGTCAAAATAGGTTATTATTTTAATCCTCTTTTTTGGGAGAAAAACTGAGTCTTAGTAAGTAGTCTATAAAAGATAAGGATTATTGGCTATTGAAAACACTAAAATTAAGGAATATTGATGATGACTGTGGCAGGAAGACCTTATGATGGTCCCCGATGATCCCCATACCCTGGTATTCATGTCCTTGTGTAGTCCCCCCCACCTGTCCAGCTGCATTGTGAGCTGAATGTAGTGACTTCCTTCCAATCTATAGAATATAACAAAGATGTTGGGATGTCCCTTTCATGATTAGGTTACATATGATTGTGATTTCCATCTTACTAGCAGACTCTCTTTCTTGCTGTCTTTGATGAAGCAAGTTGAAATGTTGGAGAGGCCCTCATAGCAAGGAACTGAGGGCAGTCATCAGCCAACAGCTAGAAAGGAACTGAGGCCTTCAGTCCAACAACCCTCAAGGAACTGAATTCTGCCAACAACCATGTAAGTGAGTTTAGAAGCAGATCTTTCCCCAGTTGAGTCTTCACATGAGACCTTATCTCCAGCCAACACCTTGATTGCAGCCTTGTGAGAGACCCAGAAGTAGAAGGTCCAGCTAAACCATGCCCAGATTGTTGTGTTTTTTTTAAAATAGATTAATTTAATTTATTTATTTATTGGCTGCGTTGCGTCTTCTGTGGCTGTGCACGGGCTTTCTCTAGTTGCCGAGGGCTTCTCATTGCGGTGGCTTCTCTTGTTGCAGAGCACAGGCTCCAGGCACGCAGGCTCAGTAGTGGCACACGGGCTTAGTTGCTCCACGGCATGTGGGATCTTCCTGAACCAGGGCTGGAACCCGTGTCCCCTGCATTGGCAGGCGGATGCTTAACCACTGCGCCACCAGGGAAGTCCCATGCCCAGATTCTTGAACCACAGAAACTGTGAGATAATAAAGATGTGCTGCTTTAAGACATTAAGTTTTGGGGTAATTTGTTACACAGCAATAGATAACTAATACAGATACCGTACCTGAAAGTGGTGTGATGCCATGAAAAATACTAAAATTGTGGGAGCGGTTTTGGAACTGGGCAGTAGATGGAACCTGGAAAGATTTTCCAGCTCATGATAGAGTGAGCCTAAATTTTTTTGAATGGACTGTTAGTAGAAATCTGAACTTTGAGGGTGCTGTCGGTGAGAGCTCAAAAGCAAGTGAGGAAGATATTATTGGAAAGTGTAGGAAGGGGGATCTTTGTTATGTAGTGACAGAAAGCATGACAACATTGCCCCCTTCAGATATGTGGAAAACGGAACATGTACCTAATGAGCTTGGTTTTGTAGATAAGGAGATTTCTAAGCTTCCTTCTTGCTGTTTATAATAAAATGTTAGGAAATGAACTATAAAATAAAATAGCCTACTTTCTTTGCAACTTCTGGTCCTACACAAGATGACAAAGACGCACTTTCCCTTTTACTTCCCTCAAAATAAAATAAAATCCTGGAAATAATTACAGACAACCATAAAAGGACTCGGAAAAGTGGAAAGAGGAAGCAGGCTGGCTAGGGACCTTAGGACTTGAGGAACAACATGATGGTGAGTCCCTGAGATTTCTTTTTGTCTCCCATATATCCCAGACTGGGCACTGAAGAAGGCCCACAACTCAAACCACCAAAAGGTGTAGATTTTTAAAAGTTCTAGGAAAAGCCAGCTCTCTCTGGCTGAAGACCCAGAAAAGAGGCAGCACAGCTGAGACCTGGTGGGGAACCCCATCTTCACTCTGTACCTGGCTGGCCTGCTCTGCCTGCACCAGCAGCACCTGCAAGAGTAGGCAGCTGACTCTACCAGAAGTATCAATAGGCCCAGTGTCTCCTGGCCCTCCACTCAGCAGCAGAGGGAGACCTATATCCAAAATCTCCTGGCCTCCATTCAGTGGCAAAGGACTCCCAGCACTACCACCAGAGGCAGAAGGAGGCCCAGGCAGATGTTTCCCTCCCTCAGTGGCACTGGCACAGATGGAATAAGAAGCCTGTTGGCACAAGGTAAGATAGAGAGAAGCTAGAGAGAAGAAGATAGAGACAGAAGATAAAGAGAAGTTCCTGGGAAACTCTGTCCCCCACAGACTCAGCTTCCTCCATCCACCACCTAGCAGCATTGGGGACCCCAGAAAAGCGCCTTCCACACCCCTGAGGCAACACCATCAGTGATTAGGCAGGCATTGGGTGGTAGCCTTGAGAACAGGCTCAGGGAAACATTCACTACCCCATGGCCCAGCATCTCCCATGCTCCCCCTAGCAGGATCTGCCTGGGAAACCACACTCGGCCCCTGCAGGCAGCATCTGCAGGATCAAACAGGAGCCCCGGTGGTGCCAGGGGAAAGAAGCGGACCAGAAAATCGCTGTATAGGCTCTGAAACCTATATTGTCACAGCTGAAAAAAGTAAGCAAGGGACTATGCACTAAACATAAACAGGGTGACTGCCTGCTGAAAGAAAAGACTTAAATAGGATTCAGGGTCTCATAACTTAATTCTCAAAATGTTCAGATACAAAAAATCACTCGTCATACCAAGAACCAGAAAAGTCACAACCTGAATGAGAAAAGGCAATCAACTGATATCAATATAGAGATAACCAAGTGTTAGAATTATCTGACAAGGATTTTAGAGCAGCTATCATAAAAAATGCTTCAGGGGCAAGGGATAATTTGGAAGATTGGTATTGACATATATACATTACTATATATAAAATAGATAACTAATAAGAACCTACTATATAGCACAGGGAACTCTACTCAATACTCTGTAATGACCTATATAGGAAAAGAATCTAAAAAAGAGTGGATATATGTATATGTATAACTGATTCACTTTGCTGTACAGCAGAAACTAACACAACATTGTAAATCAACTATACTCCAATAAAAAATTAATTTAAATAAATAAATAAAAATCCAACTCTTGATTTTGCTGAAAAAAAAAAAGCTTTAACAAGCAATTCCAACTTATCTCAAAACATGAAAAAATAGAAAACTTCAGCAGAAACATTTCTATCGGTAGAAGGACACATACCATATCCTATCATTTATATATTACTTTATAAAATGCAATGTAACACTACATACTATTTAGGGATATACACATATAGGTAAAAATATAAGGATACAAATTGCAAGAATGATCAGCAAATTTGTGATTGTGGTTACCTTTGTGATAGGAAGGAAATGCAATTAGAAAGGGATACACGGTATGTTTCATCTAGATGTGAAATGTTTTGTTTCTTAAGCTTCATTGTTGGTACATGTTCATCATAATAGTCTTTACATTTCTATGTCTGAAATATTTCATAATAAAAATGACTATTGAAAAACTCTACTAAGTGATGTCTATCTCTTATCGTTTGAAACTTTTCACTTAGTACCTTAAACAAAGCATTAGAGCTCAATGTGGTTAATTTTTGCTTTAACTTTTTTTTTTTTTTTTTTGCGGTACGCAGGCCTCTCACTGTTGTTGCCTCTCCCGTTGCGGAGCACAGGCTCCGGACGCGCAGGCTCAGCGGCCATGGCTCACGGGCCCAGCCGCTCCGCGGCATGTGGGATATTCCCGGACCAGGGCACGAACCCGTGTTCCCTGCACTGGCAGGTGGACTCTCAACCACTACGCCACCAGGGAAGCCCTGCTTTAACTTTTAAAGTTTTTAAATAAAAATATTAAAGAAGAAATAGAAAATTAGAATATCTTAAAGAAACTGAGTCAGAGGGGAAAAAATCTTTTCACAAAAATAACTCTAGGCCATTTACAAAAATTAACTCAAAATTGATCAAAAATCTAAATGTGTGCTCCCACGTCTTGGCTATTGTAAATAGTGCTGCTATGAACTTTGGGGTGCGTGTATCTTTTCGAACTAGAGTTTTCTCCCTATATATGCCCAGGGGTAGGATTGCAGAATCATATGGTAACTCTATTTTTAGTTTTTTAAGGAACCTCCATACAGTTCTCCATAGTGGCTGCAGTAATTTACATTCCCATCAACAGTGTAGGAGGGTTCCTTTTTCTCCACATCCTCTCCAGCATTTATTATTTGTAGATTTTTTAATGATGGCCATTCTGACTGGTATAAGTTGATAACTCATTGTAGTTTTGGTTTGCATTTCTCTAATAATTAGCGATATTGAGCATCTTTTCATGTGCCTGTTGCCCATCTGTATGTCTTCTTTGGAGAAACGTCTATTTAGGTCTTCTGCCCTTTTTTTGATTGGGTTGTTTGGTTTCTTTTTATATTAAGCTGTACGAGCTGTTTGTATATTTTGGAAATTAATCCCTTGTTTGTAGCATCATTTGTAAAAATTTTCTCCCAGTCTTTAGGTTGTTTTTTCATCGTTTATGGTTTCCTTTGCTGTGCAAAAACTTTTAAGTTTAACTAGGTCCCATTTGTTTATTTTTATTTCCATTACTCTAGGAGATGGAACCAAAAATATATTGCTGCAATTTATGTCAAAGAGTATTCTGCCTATGTTTTCCTCTAGGAGTTTTATAGTATCCAGTCTTACTTTAGGTCTTTAATCCATTTTGAGTTTATTTTTGTATATGGTGTTAGAGAATCGTCTAATTTCATTCTTTTATATGTAGCTGTCAAGTTTTCCCAGCACCACTTATTGAAGAGACTGTCTTTTCTCCATTGTATATTCTTGCCGCCTTTGTCATAGATTAATTGACTGTAAGTGTGTGGTTTTATTTCTGTGCTTTCTATCCTTTTCCATTGATCGCTATGTCTGGTTTTGTGCCAGTACCATACACACTGGCACAAAACCAGTTTCGATAACTGTAGCTTTGTACTATAGCCTGAAGTCAGGGAGTGTGATTCCTGAGCTCCGTTCTTCTTTCTCAAGATTGTTTTAGCTATTTGGAGTGTTTTGTGTTTCCATACAAATTAAAAAATTTTTTATTCTGGTTCTGTGAAAAATGTCATTGGTAATTTGGTAGGGATTGCATTGAATCTGTAGATTGCGTTGGGGACTATGATCATTTTAACAATATTGATTCTTCCACTCCAAGAACACGGTTTATTTGTCCATCTGTTTGTGTTGTCTTCAATTTCTTTCATCAGCATCTTATAGTTTTCAGAATACAGGTCTTTTGTCTCCTTAGATAGGTTTATTCCTAGGCATTTTATTCTTTTTGATGTGATGGTAAACAGGATTGTTTCCTTAAATTCCGTTTCTGATTTCTCTTTCTGTTAGTGTCTATAAATGCAACAGATTTCTGTATATTAATTTTGTATCCAGCAACTCTACCACATTCATCGATGAGCTCTCGTAGTTTTCTGGTAGTGTCTCTAGGATTTTCTATGTATGGTATCATGTCATTTGCAAACAGTGACCATCTTACGTCTTCTTTTCCAACTTGGATTCCTTTTATTTCTTTTTCTTCTCTGATTACTGTGGCCAAGACTTCCAAAACTATGTTGAATAAAAGTGGTGAGAGTGGACACCCTTGCCTTGTTCCTGATCTTAGAGGAAATGCTTTAGCTTTTCACCATTGAGTATGATGTTAGCCCTGAGTTTGTCATATATGGCCTCTATTATGTTGAGATATGTTCCCTCTATGCCTACTTCCTAAAGAGTTTTTATCATAAATGGATGTTGAATTGTATCAAAAGCTTTTCCTGCATCGATTGAGATGATCGCATGGTTTTTATTCTTCAATTTGTTAATGTGGTGTATCAAATTGACTG